AAATAGAAAAATTCCATTTGTATTTGTTAATTACGAATTTTTTTTTTACATAATTGTAAATTAGTCTATAAAAGTTTAACGTTTCTCGACCCTAAGATTGTCTCGTTATAATGTCTATTATAGTAACTGTTTCCTATTTAAAATTAATATGTACAAAACTTCTTTTAAACGATCCACACGCTTCACCGCGCAGTTTCTTGACTGTGTAATGTCCAAGTATTATAACTAACGATATATCGATCCATTTATCGCACATCGTTTTCAAACGAAACGAGTTGGTATATTATTAATTATAAAGACTGAGTAAAATTTTGTAACTGCAAAATTTTTAGCAACGATACGACGAATTATTGGAATTATCGTTTTTAAATTATCCTTGTAAAAATGTTTCGAACGACATTTGACATGTTCGAACGTTGGGTGCATCTCCCTGCACAGCGTTTGTACGACCCTGGCCCACCTTTGATATTCACGAACCAGTACGCGTCGAGTATGCATTTTATTAACCGACATATTTGGACGATTTGTGTATAGAACGAAAAGAATAGCCGGAGGAACAACTAACAAATGAATTACGTTGTAGTACAGAGATGGAAAAGCCGCGGTCCCTTCGCATATTTTTCCCCAATTACGCTCGAAACGCGTGGATCGCGAACGAATAACGAACGTAAACACATAGATATCATGTCAAAACTGTGTTCTTGTTTGCTCGGCAAAGTAAGTACGTAAACGTTTGTATATGTTTTTTTGATAATCAGAGCGTGTATGCCGTGAACATTATTCATTTATTATAATGAACTAGCGGTTATCCGTGGCTTTGCCCACGTTGAAGTCGTTCTAGCCGATCCAAGTTTTTCTTAATTCTCTTTTAATCGTGTTCTGCAATGAAAATTTGTATAAAACAGATGAATATAACATTCGTTAATTTAAATTGTAATGCCCAACAGGTGACGTTTAATTAATCTTGTAAACATAAGTTTTTACTGGTCATTATCGAAATTCAAATTATAAGACTCGATTATTTTTAAAAGCAACAACGAAACGTTGAAATTCACGAAAATGATGAAAGCGTTTTTGTTCCTATTTAGGGGAACGTAAATTCGTACGGGAATAAAGGAAGCAGGATGTTATGGTCGAGTAGCCAGGAAACCGCCACATATTAGCAATGTTAATACACAAAAAGGATGGAAATTTGCGAAAGAGTAACTAAATCACAGAGTCTTTAAAAAAATGTAGTGTTCAGCGACCAGTTAAAATTCAATATTCGTTTTCGTATTAGTTAAGCAATTCCATAAATATTCCACGACAAAACTTACGAGAATCTGTTTAAAAAAAAAAAGGACGATCGTTACTGTGGCTATGCTATTTCAGAGTTTCGTTCCGTGATCCAATTAAAAATTTATGGGGTCATTTAGAATTTAGGTAAACACGTAACTGAATATCCGTGGAATGATAAATGCATGTTTCAGACAGCATTATTGAAAGCTTTGGTCTGGAACGGGTGGATACGCCATCACCAAATCTATTGAAAGAATGCCAAAAGGCTTGAGGAGGTAATACAAAATCGGGGACATCAAACGTCACCAGTAGACACGCGTATATATTTATATTTATTACTTTTAAATTCGATCGAACAGACGATACAGTTCGCCAGCTTATTTTCAACACACGGGCTTGCTAAATTTATTATTTTCCACACCCATAAATCATTCTCTGTTAATTTTCGTGAAACATACCATTCATTGTACGCTACTAATCGATACGTATCGGTCGTTAATCTTGTATTTGTTGTGTCTCGATATTTAACGAAGAAAAAATACGTTCCTCGGTGTTATTAAAATTAAAAAAAAACCGTTATTTGTTAGATACGTTTCCAAGCGCTCGAACTATTTGTGGTGAAATAACAGAAATTCGTAAACAGGAATTCAGTTTTATTGAGGTTAAGGAGCCTGGAAGTCCTGGAATACGCGAGAACTTTCCAGCTCGAGCCAATAATTCTAGTTACTTCCAGGCGACGTAATCCCGTCTGGGACCGGTATGAACGGTAACGGAGGAATATTTAAACGATTTGTAAAAAGCGAAGCGCCCCGCGTAACACGTGGACGCGTGAATGCAATATATTACGTTGGTGCAATTGCTGTTCCAGTTACGTCAAGAATGCTACTCGACGGCGTTATTCATGAATACCAACGTAAACTCATTTCGGAAACATTGACAAATAACTTGGAAAAGGGCCGTGGAAAACAATCGAATGATATTCGACGAACGATCGAAACCCTACGAAAAGTTTATTACGGGGCCCGTCGACTCTTCGCGATCCCACGACTCGATAGACCGATCGATGCGCCATCTGTTCTCCACGTTCGCGTAACATTAAGAATTTGATAGTTCGACGGGAGTTTCGTAGGGTCGATTTGTCGCGTTAAAAAGCGAATAAGAATGATAGTATTTAGGTGGCAAGTTATTTTAAGTTAATTATTATTATTCAGAGTGAAAAATCCGGTGTTAAACGCCAGATGTTCGAGGCCCTTTTCGCCTCAGGTTTCCCGTTTCTTAGAAATCTCCGTCGCTCGGGCTCCCCCATTGTTATGTGTATCTCATTTTCGGGCGCTCTCGACTTACGTGCGCCGCATTGTTTACAGTTGACACAACGCGAAACGGTCGGGAGGAAGAAAAGAAGTACGCCAGCGACGCCGTTTCCGCGAAATCTGGACTCCCGACCGGCACTCGAGGAGAATCCCGAAGCATCGTGGATACAAAATCGCGGGACGTCCGACACAATAACTTCCAGCGACGCGATGGGAAAGAGGGTGGCGGGGCGGGGGGCGAGAGAGGGGGGCCAACAGCCCAGAGACACGACGGTACATGTCGTGACACAATTTCCGGCGTGTACGTGTGCCGTTCGTTGGCCGCAGATTCTGCAGTTTATTACGGATCGAAGAGCCGAGAGAGCTTCACCCAGTTCTCTTTAAATCGTCACGTTATCGCTAAGCCCGCACTTATCGCCATTTACGGCGTGCTCGATCCGCGGAAAAAAAAAGGAAAAAGGGCGCAAAATTAACACGTTGCACGCCGCGATCAATTCTCGCGTCGGGTCACGGGTTTTCCAGACCCCCTCGACCGTACAATTTTATTCCACGCAAAGAAAGAAACAGGACACACCCATGAAAGAAAAAAATTAACGAAGCTGTTCCTCTTTCTGGTATTCGTTTGATAGTCAATTCTTTTATGTTTGATGTGTTCGAATTTTAATTTGGGGCGTTAACGCGTCATGTGTGTCGTTCCCCCTGTAACGTACCGCACTGAGAACTTTTAAGTGTTAGGGGGTGAATTTATGGTAAGCGGTTAAATACGTAAGCGCCGCGCGGGATCCGAAACCGAGCACGGGTCTGAAGTATTTAATTTCGGTAAATCCGAGATAACTTAAAAACATGTAACCGCGGGCGTGGGATTAAACAGATTAAAAGAGACGATTACCTAAAATGGCAGGCACTAATTCAATTAAGTCAATGAGCTATTAACGAACTAACGAGGTTGGGGCCCTTGATGGATCTCCACCTTTTCGACACGCAACGGATTAAAGGTTCTGGAATAAAAGTGGAAGCAATAACGGCGGGGCAAAGTTTACTCGCTCAGATATGAATGACGACGTGGCGGTCGGCGCGTTAAAGGGGATTTCTCCTGCCGCGTTCTTGGACAAAAATTGATTCCCTCCTCTCTGCATTTTCTTACCAATTCAGTTTCAAGTGTACATTGATAAAAGTGTTAAAATTTAAAGACTCGATGAAGCTAAAGTAAACGTCCAGCGTTTTATTTAAATTCTGTCTTGTAAGGTATTCAAATTGTATGATAAGTTACACAGTGTGTTTAGCCACCTCTGGGAAAAATTTTAATGCGAGATTCTAGATACCAAAATAAGATGACTTGAAATGCGGTGCCTAAATTTTTCGGGGAAAAAACAAATTTCAAATTCCTTTGGAAAAATTATTTTCGGTTATAGGGGTTCATTACAATCATTTTTGGTGAATAGACATACCCCCGAAATCCTACGCATTTTCGAGAAAAAAATTCGAGAAAATGTGAAATTTTTCGACGAAATTGAAAAGTTTCAAATCATTGTGAAAAAATTATTTTTAGATAAGGGGGTTAATTACAATCATTTTTGGTGAATAGACATACCCCCAAAATCCTGCGCATTTTCGAGAAAAAAATTCGAGAAGGTATCAAATTTTTTGACAAAATTGAAAAGTTTCAAATCATTTTGAAAAAATTATTTTTAGTTGAGGGCGTCAATTATAATCATTTTTGGTGAATAGACATACCCCCGAAATCCTGCGTATTTTCGAGAAAAAAATTGTAGAAGGTGTAAAATTTTTCGACGAAATTGAAAAGTTTCAAATCTTTCTGGAAAAATTATTTTCGGTCGCAGGGGTCAATTACAAACATTTTTGGTGAATAGACATACTATCGAAATCCTACGCATTTTCGAGAAAAAAATTCGAGAAGATATGAAATTTTTCGACAAAATTAAAAAGTTTTAAATCGTCCTAAAAAAATTATTTTCTGTCGCAGGAGTCAATTTCTATCAATTTTGTCGAATACACATACCCTCGAAATCCTACCCACTTTCGAGAAAAAAATTCGAGTAGCTTTGAAATTTTTCGACAAAATTAAAAAATTTTAAATCGTCCTAAAAAAATTATTTTCTGTCGCAGGGGTCAATTTCTATCAATTTTGTTGAATATATATACCCCCGAAATCCTACTCACTTTCGAGAAAAAAATTCGAGACGGTGGACAAATTTTTTGCAATCATATATTTTTGCCTCTGCTAATTTTGAAAGAAATGCAAAAATGGAAAATTGATTTTTTCGACGTAACAAACCAGAGTGCCCCCTTAATATAGCGGGTTCGTTAGCTTGTAATTTTACTCCAACGACGCGTTAAACGCGGTCTAATTGATACGATTGTTATGCGCAGGAAGCTCCACGCCGTGGTCCCGGAGGCAGTGAACTTTTAATCCGAAACGGACGGTTAACAGTTCTTTCGGGACGGAGTACGCGATTAGACGGGAAAAACGAAGATCAAGGAGGAAGGTCCTTTCAGCATGGCGTAGAACCGTCGCGAGGATATTCGTGAGAAAACACTGGAAACCAAACGTCCAGGTGGCTACCCCTTTATCGTTCAAAACAGCGTCGAATGAAACGCGAAGAAAGTGTACCAAAAACACTCAATCACTAGGCATCGAAGAAAAGATGATATCCGATCGTAGTTTGTAAAATTTAATCGCGAAACCGTGCCTTCGACAAGAGTGTATTTCGTAAAATTTTCCAAACGGAAAAAGAACGAGATCGGTTAGGGGCGTGATTCTATTTGGCCAGAGCAACCTTTCGAATTAATAATAAATGGTGGTTCGGCCGGAACGAAAGCAATCTCGATTCCCGGTACGTACGATCGGAGAATAAGGAGTATAGCGAATCGTCGAGATACTTCATACACGTTTTGATAAAAAAAAGTTCGCTCGAGGGAGAAGGTTCGTTCGTAACAGTGAAAGGGAACACGCCGGTAACGATAAATCGTTGCGTACGCTCGACGAGCGCATAGTTAATAGTAAATAGAGCTTAAATTTGAGAGAGAATTCTAGAAAAAGGCTTGCAACATTCGGTTACGGGAACTATCGACCGGAGAAAAGAAAATTTGTTTTCTATCTACGAACGTTTGTAATCATCGTCGAGCAAAAAAATTGCTGTAGAAAGAAGCTTAAGTACACGCCAAGATCGCAGTTGAAATTAGAATGTTATCGAACAAGCTCGACGAGTGGAAGAAAATTTCCTTAAAAACGACGCGAAACTAGAGCGAGGGATCATTCTATGCGGCCATAAAACTTATTGTCTGTCAAGAGAAAATCAAATACCGGGAGTCTGGAAATCTCTGGAATCCGGAGTTAAGTAGAACATTGTACGATTCGGTGAACGATTCCAAAAGAAAGAGAGCCCAGCCTGCGAGGAAGGACTCTGTTTTTTTTTTACTCGACGAAAAGGAATCCGACGAACGCAAGGTTTCCAAGGAATTAAGCTTAAATTCTGAAAAGAAACGAGGACGTTTGCGTTCGTTTAACGCCGAGAAAAATAATAACTGATAAGAGATATCTTGAAACGAAAATCCAAGTTGAGCAGAATCGTGTAAATGTGGTATCGAGCTTAACTTTCCAATAGAAATACTTATCCATTGAACGGACTCCGTGTCGAAGGGGCAAGATTCTGAAAGAAAGGAACTGTTCGGGAGGAAGGACTCCTCTCTCGTTTTTCAAAACGGTGGACAGCAAGACACGAAAAACGGCGAACCACTACGGCGTCCACTATACGGGCTCGTACGCGTACAGCAACGGGGCACCGAGCGTGTACAGCAGCTATCCGGCGAACGGCGGCTTCGCTCAACATCAGCTCCATGAAGACTACCGGCCGATTTACTTTTACGTAGCGCAACCGTACACTATACCGTACACGTTCGCGAGGAGACCCAGGCCGTCCTCTCTGCTCAGGCCGGGCAAACCTCGGAGCAACTGCCGCGTCAAGTTCTCCAAGAGGCTCGGTAACGCCGACTTCTCGCAGAAGGTGAAGCAGGGCGAGTTCTCCAGGAGTCTCAGCCAGGTCCACTTCGTCGAGAGCCAGGGACAAGGTACGTGCCGGCGTCCTACGACGTTTCCTTTTTTTAAGTCCAACTGGTACGGCTTTACGGTGGACAGTTTTTTCAAAAAATCTATCGTTAAAATTGTTCAGTTTTGCGGAGACCCTAGGTCTCGTAGAGATAGTCAAATAGATAGTTGATGGATAGAGATAGTCTAGCGGAGACCCTTCGAAAGAAATATTGTTATTATCATTATTATATTTTTCTATATGTCTTGATTCTTTGAACGTAGATTACTGTCTTGTAAACTTTCATTCTCAGAAGTTAAGAGTATGTTCTACAAAACATGTAACGTTGCCTACTTTCTTGGTGCTTTCTCCAAATGCCTGCTACTGAAACAGAAAGTGTCAGCGATTGCAATTTCAGCTTTTCACGAGTGTCGATTAATAGAAGCAATTCTTGGGCTTAAAAACAAATTTAATGATATATTTTGTTGGATTTTCAAGCTTTAACCATGTAAGGCGATAGAGAGGAAGTTATTGCCTAGTTTGGTAAATTGGTACTGCCATCTAGGAAACAAAGGAACAGTATTATAGTTTCTCCAAGAAAAGATGCTTTAAAGGTGTTCACTACTGGTGCTTTTACCTTAATGGTAGCCTGTTAACAAATGACACAGAACAATCGAGATTTAATTTAATCGTTGAACAGCAAATTTTAAAGTAGATAATATTATAATTATTATAATAATCGTAATCCAAACATTTGTATAAATTGCTGAGAGGATGTGAAATATCATTTCCGTTCGAAATTCGCTTGTAGTTAAATGTCAGATTGTTGCAGGGCTCATTCCCGAGTAAGCAAGCTCCAAATAATTAACACTTACCGACACCAATAAATCTTGCATCTCGCAGCACGGTTTACAGAAATCCTGCAAGTTAAATGAGAAAGAGATTGCTTCGCAGCCAACTTCCACGAATTAGTTTCCAAACACTTATTCGCGCCAGTAAATCTCCCATCTTATAGCAAATACTATGTAAGAACTTCCTAACGAGAAATCAATTACCAAATAACAACGAATTAATGAAATTATCCACGATAAATACGGTGGATGCTGCGATCAACGTTCAAGATTAGGACTGTCTCATTCGTTCTACTTTGCCGTGTACATCGGACATTAATTAGAAAATTTCTGTACAAAAATTATCATAATCCTTTCATCTATGAAATTTTCTATTCTCCCAGATCGTGATTTTTCAATTGTCCCAGAACGCGCGACTTTCGCCCACGTTTCATCGAGTTTCGTAAACGTTCGTGAATCCAGAAAAATAGCTGTTACGTCTATTTAAAAATCTTATGTCTTCGAGCAATTAAAATTGCTTTCCCATTTACGTAAGCAATGTTTATTCACCCGCCTTACGGTTACTCTCGTTCGTTATCTGTAAAATTTTATTATCCGTTCCAGTAGAAGAATTCATGCTGAATTAAAAATTCATGGGAATTTTATTTCCGAATAACGAATAGAAATATTAGATTCGAATCGCGAGCTTTTACAAATTCACGAACCGTAAACGAGAGGCGCTTGTTTACGTACGAACGTGAAATTTACATTCGTCGTTGGTAAATACGATTTTCCCAAGTGGCCGGTAGGGGGCGAAGGGCCGAAGGGATAAAAGAAAAAGTTGTCGAAATGTCGAGCGGTTCGTTCTCGAGGCGCTTTCACGCCCGTGGATTCTTCTACCAGACCGGATAATTGTTGCGAAAGCGGCATAGTTTCTGCGGCATAATTTAAATAGTTGCTGTCGTCAAGTAGACTACCGATGGTTGCGCGGAGAGCGTCTTGTTCCCGTGCGCAAAGGCTACGTGCGTGCGCATCGTCTCCGTTGGTTCGTTGAAAAGAGAAACCCGGCATCGGGAGAAAGGAACATTCTCCAAATATGAGGTGTCATTTGAGACCGCCCGACGTGGAACGACGTGTTTCGTATTTGGATGGCAAATATACGCAGAAACGTTTCGCGGTTTTTGCGCGGGAAAAGGAAACGAGACGCTTAAAGCGTTAATGAGTGACGCGTATCAAGTTAAAGACCAGAAAAACAGACGCGACGACATTTTCGCGCGTACGTTTTTCAACATCGTAAATCCCGATGCTCGATAACGATTCTATACATCGTTCGGCGATTTTTACGATGCATTAATTTGTCGGTGGAAAAAACAGACGTGCAACGGTAAATTGTTGGGAAGTAATAGCAGTATAACTGCTATTTTAAGCTTGTTGCGCGATTAAAGATCGTCTGATTCTCGAGTGTAATATTACTTAACGTCTTCGTCGCGATAGAAAAATACTGAGTGAGTCATTTTCGTTCGAAGGAGACTCCTCTTGACGAACCGTGTTGTGTAACCTGATCCTCCGTTCTCTGTCCTTTTCTACGTTCGACGAAATACAAAGACGACGTTGTTGCTCGGCTTCTGCCTTTCTGGGAACTGAAAAGTAAACAGTCCCCGTCTGTCTCGCAGTTATCTAAGATTTGCTGTAACCGTCGCGTCGAATACGAAGAATTTATTTTGCCTCTATTCTTGATCATCCTATCGCTACGTATTTCTCACGCAATTAATATCTCCTCTTTCAACCGATATCGTTGTTATTTAGTCTCCGACTAGTTCCTTTCCCTGGCCTTGTTAAATTATTCCGTTTTCACCACGCTTAGAATGTAAACACATTTGTTATCACATCTGAGCTTTCTTACACCGCACCTGAGATTGCACTTTCCTGTTCGTCCTTCCACCATGCTGACGACTGTTCAGAACCATTCTCCTCGCCTTTATCCTCGCTTCTGCATATCGCTCATTCTCACGGAAGTATTCTTCCCATTCCATTATCGTTTTTGCTTTTTCTTACATCTCGATTCTTTGGTAGTGTTTCCACTTTATTTCTTGCATCCTATCTTCATATTTCAGTGCTCTCGTTTCCCTTCTAATTCTACAGTTTTCATTTTCCACCAAAGCTATTGTATTAGAATGACATTCAAACACCACTTTATACATTTAAATCGTATTCACTTTCATTCTCTCTTTCTTTTCGGCCGAATAACTCCTCCTCGTGTAATAGGATACTCGTAGCCAGGTGAACGTCATCCTCTTAGCATCCGTAAAATTCCCCTTAAATTCCCTTCTTCCCTTGCAATTTTTACGCCCACGTCGAACATATAGTGATCTCGCGAAAATTTCGACGTTCGCCTTAACACTTTGACTGCCAAATCAATACCGTGCAATATTCTGTGAAAGTAAAATTTTGATTTTAGACCATTGTGAGCTACATAACCTAGAATTTTGTTCAGTACCTAGTTTTGCAATCTTGTAATTTACAAATTCTATACAAATTTATTTCCCCCCAACGTCTTCACTTGAGAATTAATTTTGTGATAAATCCTGTCACCCATATATGGGTGACGTGGCAGTCAAAGTGTTAAACGGTTTCCAAACGTTCGAGGTTAGGTTTCCCGCGCGAAATTCAATTAATTCCGGATGTTTGTTCAAATCGTCTCGAAAAATCCTCCTCTGTATCGCGACAGCTGAATTACGAAGCTGCGGAGGGGCATTCGTTGAAATTTAATTCCGAGAGAAACGCAGCGAGCAATTTACTGTTCCTGTCGCGGGGCATAAACTGCATCGAATGGGTTATGTACACTCGGAACGAGAGGAATGCGAGCCGAGCGTCCGGTATGACTCGCCACTTGTTTCTCCTCTGTTGCAGTGATCTCGAACTATCCGAAGGCTGGTCCGACGTCGCGTGACCCAAGGATGACGTCCATGTTCCGTAGAGGCACGATCTTCGCCACGTTTTTCCTGTCGTTGCTCGGCGGCGGCCTCGTGTGCGCCGCTCTTGTAACGCAACACTGGGTCGAGGCGCGACCCCTGAGGACACCAAACCCCCAGGAAAGCGCCGGCAGGGTTCACTTTGGCCTCCTTCAAGGAAAGAAAGAGTTGAACGTCGCGTACGGCTGGAGGACGTACCACATCTCCGGTAAGTCTTTTGCTTCAGAATTTATTTTACCGTTAACTGCACATTTCTAGATCTGTTTCTTTTTTAAGCAAAGACCAGACTGCGGATCTTTATGCAAATTCACATTTTTATTAATAGAATCAATGAAACGGAAGCTTCGCAGAGGCCCTAAATGTAATAATTCGTATCTTACTTTAAGTATTTCTGTAGTTTTTTGAGGATTAAAATTTCCCATAAATGCATAAACATCCCGCAGTCTACTGATAACTGTATACCATGTAGAACCCTATTAGACTGTTTATGGTTCTGAACGCCTTGTTAACTTTGTTTGCCAGCAAAGAAAAGTACCGTCTTCGAAGACACTTACACCGCCATGGTCGAAGACATTCCGTAGACACGAAAAACAGGCGTGGTAGTTATCGCGTTAACTGTAGTTCTGTAGCAGTTGGGTGTACCCTCAGCTTCCATACCTCTGTGATCCGAAGATCATGAACTTGAGCTCCCCTAGTTCACCGCTACCAGAGGGTGGGAGGGGGTCATTGGACTTGAAATAATTAGCCCTCTCATCGTTACCCGAGCCACAAAGGGACGGGTCCCCTAGACTCACCAGACTCCAGTTGGCGTAAGGAAATTTTCTCTTGGGGTCACTTTTGTTCCTCGAGTCGGATAGAACTCCGCCGTAATTACTTTCGTCTCCCATTTCGAGACTAAAATAGTACGTTAAAATAATTTCAACCGAGGGTCGAAAAAAATAACCTCAATTTTGAGTAGAAATATCTGGCTGTAACCCCAATTCGGATTCGGCTATAGCCATAATAAGTAAGGTGTAATCTCCACCGGTATAATTCCAATCAGTGAGATCCTAATAGGTAATAATCTAGGCTTATTAAATTTCTGGCAAGTTCCTTTGGTAGCTCAAAGGTTGTTCCCGTTCCGGCTACTGGTAACATCAATTAGACGCTTAACCTCGTTCGCCTGTACTTGACGATTAGTTTAACTTTGCAGAAAAGATCACGGTTGAGCCGAGAAAATGATCTCGGGTTAAAATTTTAATTTTTCAAATTAGTTTTAGCAGCTCGAATATATTTGAATATATCTTCTTCTCGAATGGGTCATTACGCAAAAATATGTTGATGAGAAGTTTCTCATCGGGAATGCAGATTCAGTAGTCGGTAACAGATGGAATAATTTAATAGAAAGGTATCAGGATCCGAAGCGACGTGTTACGCAACTGTATTGATGTACTACGTGGACAGTGTTTTAAACTCATAATCTTCGATCACGGATCGAAGTGGGTAAGCAATACCAGCACGTTTCGAGAATCTTCGCGGTTAGTAATACCGTACGTGAGATACGAACCCGCATTCGTACAGGGTAGCTTGAAACGCGCAAACCCACCTCGAACGTTATCGTTTTATATTTCGAGTCAACATCCTGTGCGTAAATTGTCATCGAAAACAACGACAGTCGAATATATTAACGGTCAAATAATTTTCGATCAATTTTAAGAGGATCAGAGTTATCTTTTTGACTAGGAATCAAAGTTTAGGAGAGGAAAGTTTGAACAAAAAAAAAAAAAGAAACAGGTCATCGATCGTTTGCGTAGATCCGGTCAGCTCGAATGGGTCTAAGGTCGAAAGTACAGCGGTACGGTTCGCCTGGAGCGGGAACTTGTGGTAATATCAGTCGACGACGAGTTATCATCTAGGATGAACAGCGCGAGGAAGATTCCCGCGTGTTCCAGGGTACCCGGTGTGATACTGGGGGCCATAAATTCTGCCGGATGGTTGGCCAAGACCGGGGAATCTCATTCGGCATAACTGTACCTGCACGCGATCTCTGTAGTCGACGGCGAGCGGGAGAGTCGCGCGCATATCTGCGATAAATCCTCCGTTTGATAATCGCTGTCGGATCAGTTTCGTTTAACTTTGCTGCCCGATCCGCGGGATCGTTTTCTGTTAGTCACGAAATCCGGCTAATCGGGTGTAGATTACACGTACGTACTTGGCAACGTCCGATCCGATGTTTTACGACCATTCGTTCGCTACGACCCGTTATTGGAACGATGACAATCGTCGATAAAAAATCGAATTGTTTGGGGAACGCTAGCGACGATACGTCCGCCCGCAACTGGTTCGTTGTACTCTGCAATCTATTGCTTTTTTTTTTATGTTCGCGCAAAACTCAAGACCTATTGAACCGATCTTCCTCAAATTTTGACACGTTATTCCTGCACACTCTAGGACGGACATAGGCTATGTAGCATGTCTCTGAAGCGCGTTATTAACATGTAATTTATGTGCAAAGATTTCATGTTCACGACTGTTTGGCAGACCACGCGACCCCTGTATACGACAGTCTACTTGGGCGCGCATGCGCGTATTCGGCCCGCGCGATACCTCGCCCGTAGCAGTACTGCGATGTTACCGCCAGGTGGCGAAGCTTCTCGAGCGCTTTCTCGCGATAGAATTGCATTATCGCGGATATATATGTCAGGACGATCGTCTGGTAATAAATTCATAAATCATTACGATAAATGTCTCTCGAGCTTCACTGTCTCCAAGAGGGATCCTCCCAGTTGGTAGAGTTGTTTCGTAACTGTTTTGAAAAAATTACATAAAATTAGGAAGCTTTTTGCCACGTGGGTTTTATAAAAAAAAGTTAATTTTTAGATGGATAATAAAAATTGACTATAGCAATATCTTGAAATGATATACAATGAAATTCTTATGAAATATATAATTTAATTTTTTATTTGTAAATATTTCAATAGTTATAAGAATTATAATTTTGATAAAAAATAATTAAATTGCAAAACGTTTCATAGACACCGCGCCTATATCGCGGCGAACGAGTAGAGCGATACCGGTAATCCCATAACGAATTTTTTCTCAGCTTCTCGCAGCGTCCGGAGTTCCTGCGGGCTCAAAGACCGTGTTTATAATGCTCGCGTGTCCCGTCGTCCTGATACTGGAATCGTTATTGCCCGGAGGAAACTGTTATCGCGCTATAACCGGCGTTACAATGGCGGTCAAAGCACTCGAGCGAAAACATCCGCTCTCCGTGTAGCATCTTACCCCTCCGGAGGTGGACTACCGGAGGAGTACATACGTTAATCCGTGCAGCATACGCCGCACGACCGGCGAACAATTTGAATAGCATTTTACGGGACGCGCCGTTGTAACGGTCTTCCTCTTACGCACTTTGGTTACGGCATGATTTTTCGCGAAACCAGACGCGAAAAAAAGCAACCGGACCCCGCGCGAATAAGGAAATCGTTATGGAACACTGCACCACTTTGCGCGAGCCGAACGCGAACAGAGCGGACGATAACGATCATGGCGGAACCGCTCACGTTTGTCGTCCTTGCTTATTCCGGTCTCTGATTCCAAAGCGACGAGAAACAATCATGTCGAAAATTAGTCATCTGTAATTACTATTTTCTTCAACCTCATCGCCAAATGATTTCATCCGAAACGTGAGACATCTTTATTATTATTAACCCTTTGCACTCAAACCAATAGAATTCAATTTCATTTTCGTACATTCCGAAAGAAAGCATAAGGTTTGTGCAGTTTGGTCAAACAGAGAAATACCTGAAGAAAGAAGGGAAATAAATCTTTTTTTTGCTAAACAAATTTCAAGAGATATCATACACTTGAAAATTGCAAAATACAACAATAATATAAATAAAACAGATATTTAATTGAATTTATTTGTTCCTCTATTTGTTTAAACTCTCCTATTTTTTAGTTACCGTAAATTTAAAATAAAACACTTAAAAGCGTTGGGAGCTGCATCTAACAAAATTGAAATATAATTTGGAGTGCAAAGGATTAACCCCTTCAGTAGAACAGCGACAGTAGACAGACCAGATGTTAAACTGGTTTGTAACGGAGATTCTAAGAATTGTGACCGACTCAACGTAAACGAGAAATTTAATTTTTGGGACCGTCGATCGTGATACGCCTCGACTGCATTTAATCGATTAATTCACGGTTTGGACCACGTCAAATAGAAGGTCAGGAAAATAAAAATTGGCGTTTCATCGAGATAGTGCTGGTGGACTTGCCGAGCGAAGCTGACTCAGCGCGCCTTGCATTAGACGCTGCTAGATTTTTATCGAGCGTTCGCTTTAAAGTCCGTCGCAAGAACTGCAGGGGGCGGACTAACAGTTTTAACAATGGCCGTTAAAAGGTGGCGATTAAAAGCCCAATTTCGCCCAGCGTTCGACACGATGTACTATAATCAACGATTAACAACTATAATTACCGTGTAATCGAGTCACCGACCAACGTTTATCAATAATTATGATTATCGTACGAAAGCGAATACGTAATTAACGATTATCTGTTCCATTATTACTGAATTAATAACCTGGCAACGAAAACATTTAATACAGCGAAGGCTGGAGGAATTAAATATTACAGACTTATAATCAGTGTTATTTTTATCAATTTAACCAAAAATTATTCTTCCTCCATCGAGAGCCCATTTAGAAATGCTTTTCACCAGCTTCTCTTTCTAATTTCTTACGTTTCTCTGTCAAGAAATAGCCCCCTGTTCCGAAAAGGTAAACATTTCTTGAAATTATTGTCGACTTCCTGTAACGGAAGTCCCCCGGTCCGGAAGGGTCATAGGAAATGTTTCTTGGACCGTTTTCCACGTCCACTCGAAATTTCGACTCCCTTTTGCAAAAGTTGCACGCTCGATATTCAATCTGCGGAACCAATTTTCCTAGCTGCGTTTTCTTCCTCCGTGATATTCGTTTCTTCTACGGCTGCTCTGTATTAGACTTTCGGTCCAGGCGGGGCAATTTTTCATCCCCCCTTCCTTCCCCGGACAGGGAATGTTTTTTATTCGCTTGGAATCCAAAAATCTTCTGGCACGCTGGGTGTTTCCAAAACAAGCAAAACCGAACGTTAACACAAATAATGTTTTATTCAATGAACGTGAGAAAGCAGCGTACGGTAGAATAGGGTTTTCCAATAAGAGCGATAGAACTTCCCCATTGTCATGGCAGCCATATTTGAATTCAATAGTGCTCTACAAGTCGTGGCGGTGAATGGTTCTACGAAAATTCTTTTGTTCCGCGTAGAACCATCCAGGGGTTGTAATTTGCCTACTAGTTACCGATCACCGTGTATAAGAGGGGTGGGGATGGTCGTGGCACGCGTCGCGAAAAACGTTTCTCTTTCATCGGGGCAATGGCGCCGAAGGGACACGCTATCACGTACAGACGGTCACGTATTAAACGATGCTCGCGTGCATACACGTCGAACAGTGCGTCTTCGAACGTGAGGTCAATAATAGCTTTTGTCACATTGTACCTGCGTTTCAGCCCGGTCGATTGGTATGCGTGTCGCGATCGAATCGGTGTAATCGTTTATTAACCTTACCTCGACACTGTTGACCGACTGTCGCGAGGAAAAAGTTGATTCCAACGATGCACGCGAAAGCCCCGTTTCGTTCTATCGTTCGGTACTATTAAACTAACATTAACATTTTTTCAAGTCCAAACCAAAGAGATATCGTACACTTGAAAGTTACAAAATGCAATAACAGTGTAGATAAAACAGATATTTTAACAGGTAAATTTCAAATAAAACACTTAAAGGCGCTGGTAACAAAATTGGAATATAATTCGGAGTGCAAAGGGTTAAACAGCGTAATCCTTTTCAAGAATTTTTGACGGTCGTATCTTCGTGGAAAAACCGATAAAAAACGTTGCAGCAGGGAGAGCCTGGGGAGCGAAACTCTCCGGTGAACGGGCATTAGGAAAAGCTGACCGAGAGAGATATTCCGTTTGCGAGATCGGGCAGCGGTTGTAACAATAGGAGCAGAAACTGGTTTCACGGCGCGAAAAAATTCTCGACCGTGCCTCGTGGTCGACTTTCACGTGCGCTGGGGGCTACTCGTATCATCGGCGTTGTTGATGCTGACCGCAGCGAACGTTAAAATCCCCTTTTTCCGTGGAAAGTCTAGACTGCCGCGATGGAAAGTCGCGTATCGCGTTTCCCGCCACTTTGCGTTCGCAACACTGCACCACAACTCCCCTGACACTATAATTTAACGTGTTGCACTGATAAATTGGAAAACATAACCTCTTCACTCTTAGAAATCCGTTTGACACGATCGTTCAAGAAATGAATATAATTATTTGCTTTAAAATTCTACGTTAGAAACGCCAAGAGCATTAACTGTCGATTCTTGGAAGTTTCTATAGAAACGGAATTCAAGGTTTCGTAACTCATCGCCAAGAATGCATCCATTGAAACTCTCCGAACAGTTTGGAGGATAAAGTTTCTTTACCAAGAACCCGTGTTCGTGGCCAACATGTATGTAACGGGTGAGTAGTTCACGTGTCGCTGGCCCATACTTTAAGTAGATCTCAAGGATAAGTTTCTTACGAGAAATTCCTGGGATGTCCTCCAGCGGACGCGAGCTACCAACTTGGCGATTCGCTGAGAACCCAGCCCCGGGCTAATTATCTAGTCTGCTATTTGCGACGCAATATAACTTTAACCGGCCAAAGCGAAGGTGTATTTGCCGCGCGCTTAATTATTCATTACGCCTCGCTGTAATTTCAATTCGCGCGCCAATCCGTCGTGATTCGGTTCGTTTTCGGCCGAGAGGGAGGGGGGAGGGAAAAAAGACGAACTTCAAAGGAGCAAAATTTGGCAATGGCGACACGACCGAGTTTCCGACAGAGTTTCCGACAGAGTCGCGCACTGGGCCAAACCACGAATCCAGTTGGGAGGGAAAAAACAACTTCGTATACTTATTTCATTTTTTCGAAACCATGACGGTGCGAATAGTCCAAAAAAATTGGCATCTTTCAAAACTATTTTCCCTGTACCGTGAGTCTCGTATGGAATTTTTTAATGTTTTATGTATGTAGCATTGATTTACAGAAAGCACTTCCGTTTCAAATACTAACTGTCTGACGCATATTATTGTATAATGTTTATCGCCACAACGATTCACGCGAAAGTCTATGATTCTTTTATCTTTGGAATGTTTAATTAAACATATCAAAACCGATGGAAGCAAAGATAAAATAAGTTTTTCTACGTAGAACTTGGCTCGAGCCGACGAGAATATAAAAAAATTTTGATATCGGGCCATTAACTTCGTCGAATGACTCAGGCTTTGTGTCAGTAGATTCTGTAGCGTTCAACTAATTACATTCCTGAAGATTGGTACCGCTGTATGAAAACTGCTCGACATTCCAACAAGTTTATCGTTTGTAAAATGAGAAGGAACAGATTCCTTTCGGCCGAACAGTAAAGCAGTCAATAACAAAGCGTAACAAACATAGAACTATGCAATTCAATGTACTCGTTACGATTGAAAAATATATCTCTAACAAATTCATGCCCGTTTCTAAAATAAGCTAAAAAACAATGGCGAATATACAGTCGGGAAGATCGTTAATGAACAATACGAATAAACTATAAACACGAGAACAGCGTTATATCGGTAGACGGTTTGAACACGACTACGAAAATGGCCACGAGCTTGGCCACCACGAGGCACCGATTGGCAGGCCCACGATCGATGCGCGCGCATCGTCGCTTGTGAGCAGATCGCCGAACTCGGTATGGGGCGCATCTTGAATTGAGCGCCGCGGTGGACAAGGTGCTAATTAATTCTCCGCTCGAGTTTCTTCGAAGAAAGCTTTCTCCTGTACAGTGCCCCGATTAATATTAACGTATATTTTGTTCCAGTGCCTGAGATGATCAGACAGGACCCAACGGTGATGTCCTGGGGACTTTGGATCAGCACTCTGACAACGACATCGGCGGCCCTGGTCACCGCAGGCCTCGCAGCGCTTCTCGCCGTTTTGAACACGGCCACTTCGCCGAGGTCCAAAGTCCTCTCCGATCCAGGGGTATACTTCATAAATATTTTAACGCGTAAGTCTCGAGGGCAAACTTCTTTCGACGGTCCTCTTGCGGGACTATAAGCTTTCGCTTGGACAACTTTACAACTATTCTTTCTCTCCCCGTGCCCTTTATCGCGTGCATGCCAGACTCGTTTTCGGCCCGTCGGCCATTGTACGGTTCGCTGTCGCGTCGCGGGCAACGAAGTACATATCTATAATTGACGAGCGGAAATAAATAAAGCCACCTCGAAACGTATACGTTTGCCTTTTCACCGCGTATAAAGCATATCCGGAATTTTCCAGAATATTTATGCCGATTCACGACGGAAAAATATGACGTTCTGCGTTTCGATATTTCTTAGAGCTAGGTAAATAGATGGGTGCTTCTAGGATTCGATGGATACGATTAATTTTAAAATATCGGGTCGATTAAAACGTCCGGGCAAATACGGTTAGTTATTTCTCGTAGGATTGATCTTTCCTTCTCCACGCTGTACACGCACGATGAACACCGTCGAATAAGTAACCTGTAATATTGACTTACACGTTTGTTTAGTTTTAATGTGCCTGGCGAGCACGAGCACTTGGCTGGCACAGTATTACACGAAGCTGTACTTCAACGTGCTTCCGAAGGAGGACATCGACAATATGTGGACCAGCGAGGGTTCTGCTGAGCTCGGTTATTCGTTTTGGTAAGAGACCTTTTATTCTCCGCTCAATGGCGATGGAGCATCGAGTGCACAGAGGCTCTCGCGAGCCTGGGCCAAGCTGCACCGATGATTCCATGCTTCACGGATGACGTGTTCCAAAGCCCCCTGTCCGATACGATAGATGTTTCTCTGCTTTCTGTAAAGCATGATGCTTTTCCCGAAGCGATCAGCAACAGCTAGCATGAGAAAACGCATCGTACAACAGTCTCCATGATACCATAAAATACAAGTTTTATTTAGCAACATATAGGCTACCCCGACAAGAGCGATAGAACTTTCAATTGTCATAGCCGCCATATTTGTTGCTCGCTTGTTCGAATCGCGTTACATTTGTATTCCGGTTAGGTTAGGTTAGGTTGGTCATCGTGGAAAGATACCACCATCATAATGGTCAGTTAAATTATCATTTGTAGCTTCCATTTTGTTTCTATTTACAGTTCCAGCGTTCTTATTGGAAAATCGATTATTGCTGGGAGAATATTTTCAGTTTAATTCGTAATTTGGTCCGAGTTAGGTTAGGTTCAGTTTCATTCGTAATTTAGTCATTGAAGGTAACCTATAAAAGATGGGAATGTAGGTTCTCTTTAACAACGTATTTGAAATGTCTATTTGTGTATTTCATTTTAAGTGACAGTGATTGGAAAAGAAGATAGAAGAATTTAGAGACATAGGTTTGCAAATTAACTTGAAAGAAAATATATGGAGAAGTAAAGCTAAATGACTATTTAAAAGCTATTTACTATTTAAAGCTAGAAAACTATTTAATTAGTGTCTTATTTTGCACGAATGCGACTATCGTCTGGACTAAAAGTTCATGAAAACAAAATTCTGAAAGGCCAAATAAAACAATAAAACTAGTCACTTGAGACTGGAAACAAAATTTTATTCTGTCACTCACAGATGTATTCGTATCCGAATAGAGTAGCTGAAAGTATTATAGATATTTACTCGGTAAATAATTAATAACAAACTGTCAATAAAATTTAAACTGTATGATAAATTCACGGAGCAATGTACAGAATCGGATCACAGTCTGTGCCAGCAGTACTGTAAATTCACGTCGAATTTCTCACAAATAACAATAAAGCCAGCGCTGGACAAAACGAATAAATTAATAATAAAGCATGGCACGTTATTGACAAATGCCTTTATCTACCCGAACAATAGAGGATGAAACATATTTACGATTCAACGGACATAGAAACAAAGGAGAATAATAAATAAAGGGAACGTGATTGATCGGTGTGTACATCTACCACAAAAATGGCGTACTAACTTTTAGACAGATTTTTTGAAAAATTAAGTTCGAATCGAACCCTTGCTTCGGATATAGCAATTACTTTGAAGAATTTAAAGCCACGAAGATTTAAATTTGAGTATAAGTGATGTAAGTTTGTTGGGTTGCGTCGGTCACCGGTGACCGACACGGCAACGGTGTGAAGTTGGTAATTTTTCTGTCGCTACTTCAGGCTCGTCGTTTGCGCCGGCGCGGTGCATTTGATCAGCATAGCGTTGGTCGGTTGGGGCTCGGGACGAGACAAAATCGAACGCCTGGAAACGATTCCGCCGCTGGAGGAGAAGACCGCCGCTGCAATAATGTTGTATTAAATCGCGGGATGCTCGGGACGATGGCTCGAAGCGAGATCCATTACAAAAAAAACAACGTTCGCGTCGCTGGCGCGAGCCAGGCCCAATGTGAGTTGAGTTCCTAAGTGTTTACTGGCATATTTAGCGCCGTGTAGCGTCTCAAGAGCAAACACGTTAACGGAATTAGCTTCGAATCGTGGACGAATGTTTTTAACGTAAGATCAAAGTTCCAATAAAATTTTACGTAACATTTGCACGTGGACTCGTTGCAACGTACGAAAGCATGGAAATTATGAAATTCACGAGCTCGACTACGAACGATAAGAAAAAGTTCACGAAGCAACTATTTTTGTAACGATGTTGATCCTTGGTCCCGACGTTTCGTTTAAAGACTGTGACCGCTGAGTGTTTTTGATAGCCGTTAAAATAATCGTGAGTGGATATAAGAGAGTGTCGGTTGACGAGTGTTTCTGTTACAAATGGACGACTTGTAGCGTGTGTGTTACGGTATCGTTAAACTATGTTACAATTTCAAGTAATAAAGTCGACAAGTGTCTCGACGACATGGTTGCGACTCGTTCTAGCATAATAATTTAAATACTCTTGTTAGTTGTGTATCTTTCGCGCGTTTTAAATGCCCATTTTCACGTTTAGAGATTTTTTGTCTGAGAAACATTTAGCAGCTTTACGCGATACAATTAAAAATCAAATACGTAAGAAAGATATCGTATATCTTGCCTTTTACGAGAGAGCTGGTAAAACGATCGTCGTGTACTATGGTTGGATCAAAATCTACTGGCCGCTCAAGGCTATTGAAGGTGTGTGTCCCCTCCACCATGTTAGTTATGTCAGAAAACCTTGCGCAGCCAAGCCAGTTACCGACTGCAGTGCACAATGTGTCGATGAACAAGTCGATTCACGACTTGGTGTTGTAGGGTGTAAATAGAAACGGAGTTTGATACTCTGTAGTGATTTATTTATTACGTAGTATCGTAATTATTAAATATACCATAAATGTAATAAAACAATTAAAAAAACAAATACGGACAAGATGCGTAGATCTTCACTTATACCATGATAACGAGGTCGGCTCTCATGATCGTCTCAAAACTGTGATGCATATTATACAAATTAAACTTGCTGCCATGAGCGTGTGCGGGGGGGAATACGATGATTTCGATGTCAATCTATTCGCGTTTTCTTCTTTCTTCTTTCTTCGTCGAGCGATATCGGTAACGACGTATTTCCGGTTTATTAAAATAATTAACATAAAGAATCAGGATACAAGAAAACTTTATTGATGTTTTGAGACTTTTCACCTCTGCCGTCAGGTTACCTAGTCAATTAAATACTTCGGCATTCATACAGTCCACCATCCCTTCTACTCTGTACATTGATTCATATTTCACATACAGTTGTGATACACTAATTAATATGTATATTGTTCGAATTTTTTTCGGGTTTCTTTACAAGTCTAATGCATGTAACGCAGCGTGGTCGATTTAGAAAATTCTTGTTCCGAGTTTAAAAATATCATAAAAACTCAATTTTATCGTCGCCTGTTAATACATAACGTTTTCCTTTTGTTTTGTCGTAATGCGGGTGAATTGGCTAACGATCATCTTTGTGCTTTCTTTTTATCGTTACGAGTATATCGGAGGAGAAACGAAGCGGTGCATGAAACAGTAGAGTTTTGGGCCCGTCATTGAACTTCAGGCAAAAGTCTAACTGCGTATTATGCACTGATCTTGAAGAATAATAAAACGTTGCTCCTATAGGTAGTTTTCATGCCCTATATTAACGCCGGCTAACCTGCGACCATCCGTCATCCTCCACAGATGGTCTTTTTTCTTCGTGTTTAGGTGGAAGTCTGTCATCTTTAGGGTCCTCCCGCCTATCAATGGAATATTTGTTTCGGTTATTTCGGTCGATTAATTTTACATTACAATATTTCATCGAAATCTAAGATCGTCGATTGGGTAAACTTTTATTTAGCGTATACTTACTTTTCATCGCGTCTGGGCAAATCTCGAGGAGGATTTTGTATCACTTCGCTTTTGTCGCGCCAGTTTTGAGTACTGTTACGCATTGTGTCGTCGCGGCGCTGACCACCGCCGCCTGGTCCACTGCCTGGTCCGCTGCCCGGTCCACCGCGTCGATCGAACATTCTACCACGGGTACGAGGTCCATCCGATATGGGGTCACGTGGAATATCGCGTATCTGTTCCAAGTAAATATATTTTTACACACATGTAAAGCCAGTCGTGGGCTCAATATTCTTGATATACTTACGGGACGAGCATCCATTCCACGATCTTTGTCTATCCTATCCCTATCCCTATCTCTGTCTCTGTTGTCCCTCGTGTCATCCTTTTCGTAGTCGTCTTTCCTCCATTTGTCCGCGTCGCGTCTCTTCCAACGCAAGGTATCGTCTTTGCCACCTCCGCCACCAACACCAACACCGCCACCGCCACCGACTCCGACTCCGACACCAACACCACCACCTCCTCCGCCTCCGCCTCCTCCTCCGCCTCCGCCTCCGCCTCCACCACCGTCCTCCTTTGTGTCCACAGGACGACGCCAAGACATCTCCACTGTGGTTATATAAAATAGAAAAAAAAAACCCCAAATTGTACATAATGTGCCAACGTTACGTTCACGTAACCTCCGCTACTCTGAGACTAGATCTACGCAACAAAAATCTTCTAATACAGTTTCTCTGAGTGGTGGAGATTACGGAGGTGTAACATAAAAATTTGCGCCATTGATCCATCCTCCAAGTAACAAATATATATAACCTAATCCAACAGACGCGCTTGATTTCTCAGGAATGCGATGGCGCTGTTGTTGTTCCCCGCGTCTCCACGAGTCCTTGTCCCTCTGTTTCTCCTCCTCGAGTTTCCGTTCTATCTCCGCTTCCCTAGCCCTGGTGATCTCCGCCTGTTTCTCGATCTTAGCCAAACGTTCAGCCTCCCTCGCCTCTTCCTCGGCGCGCTTCGCTTTCTCCTCCTCCTCTTTCTTCGCTTTCTCCTCCTCCAAGCGTCGTTTCTCCTCTTCCTGCTTGATACGCAAATCCTCCAAACGTTTCCTCTCGAGAGCCTCGGCCCGTTCCTTCTCCCATTTTGCTTTACGCTCGGCCTTCCGCTCCATCTTGCGCTTCAACAGCCTACTCGCCTTCTCCTCGTTCAAGATTTTCTCGAACTCCGTAAATTTCTCTATATAAATATTCTTTCGCTCGGCTAAAATCTTTGTCAAGAAAATATCGTTGTCCTCCTTCATCCTGGCCATGCGTTCCCGAGTCGCGACAGCCTGCTGTCTCTCCTCGATGGCCGCGGCGATCCGTTCCGCCTCTTGCTGCTCCCAGCGTTGCTTCGCCTGCTCCATCTTCTCCTCCGCCGCTTTCTCCACCAACGGAATTTCCTCCAAACGTTTGGCACGTTCCAAGTAGTCGATCTTCTTCTCCTGAGACTTCAATTTCTGTTGCATTTCCCGGCGTTCCTTCTGCAACTCTTCCGCCTCGCGGGCTGCGATTTGTTCCGCGTCCAATTTCTTTATTTCGTCCTCGTCCAATTTCTTCAGAACTTTCTGACCGTGACTAGTCTGGGAGATCTGTTGCATTTTCTCTTTAAGATGGCGGTCCTTGATCTGTTGAATCTCGCTCTGTTGCCGTTTCCTTTCGCGTTCTTCCCTTTCCTGCTCGAGCCTCTTTTGTTCGGCTAACATTTGCTGTCTCTGCAATTCCTCCTGCCTTCGCATCTCCTCTTCTTCGCGGACCGTGTTAATATGTTCGATGTATTCCTTTCTCTCCTCTATGATCTTGTGCCTTCCTAGGATTCTTTGATGTTCTTTCAACTTGGTTTCGTGGTAGTGACTAACCATAGCATTACGTAACTTTTCTCTCTCCATTTTCTTTTTGTTTGGATTAATAATATTAATTGCTCTATGTAACACAGTAGCCATATTTACAAGCTGACAGCGAATTTGTTCAGACGGCATTGCTTGTAGAACAGGACCATCGGGATGGTCCTCTCTTTGAGCCTCGGACAGATCAACCCCAAAGTGAACACATTTCTTTCCATGGTTAATTCTTATTTGCATGTCGTTGTATCTTACACAGTCGACCAGGAGTCGTTCCAGATGAAAGTCTGTCGTGAATTTGGCAAGCTCCAAGAGCCTGTCAAATTTTATGGTTTGATAAACCTGCGATATTTGATGAACCAGGCGTACAAGCGTCACGTCCTGTAAGGCGGGTACATACTGAATCAGAGGACCGGTCTCGTCGGTTTGTAACGTTTGAATAACAGAATCTACTCTGTTGCACAGCTCCAAAGGGTGGAACTCAACTTCCAGCCACGAGTACAATTCTTGCAACTGCGGGGACGCTAAATTTACAATGTTTAAACGAACGATATCTTTAAGCAGAGAAACTCTCGTTGGTGGTTGCGTAAGTCCTAAAAGCGTTGCAAGCTTTTGAGCTTTCTCTAACGGACTTTTGTCTGTTTCGATAAAACGATCAAATTCCGGATGAGCCGATGGCAACGGTATAGAGAGCGTAGCCAACAACACGCGATTGGCCATTCTCTGCTGTTCCTCGAGCGACATATTCTTCTTCATTTCACGCGAGAGTTGCAACAATTTGAACAACGCCGCGGCATGGAAAAGATAGTTTCCTGCTTTCCAGAAAACCATCGCCAACTTTTGATAATAATTGGCCATAGTTTTTGGCACTGGGAGCTTTTTCGACAAATTCATCATACCGTGCACATCTTCTGAGGATTTGAAGGCCTCTTGCCATAATTCCATTTGAATTGCTGAGTCAAGTTGATTCAATCGCGTTTCCAGGTTCAATTGTTGCGTCTCTGCTCTGTTCATGGAAACATTAGAGACCAATGCAGGTAATTTACAAATTTCTTCCAGATGTTTCCTCAGTTTCTCACACAGTTTGCGAAATTCCGTTTTACGATTGTATTCGAGGCAAAACTGAAAGGCCATACGCGCAATATCATGGTACAACGTTTCGACGTGTGCATTGGTTCTCAGTAATTCCAAGCACTGGCAGTACGATTCCCATAAAAATTTCACCCATGGTGTTAGAATGGTACGGTCGCTTCTGTCTTGAGCATCTTCCCCGCTAACAGCCGACAGCAATATGCTCTCTGGGGTGGCCAAATTGTCAAGATCGTCTATATCTATAACGGCTTGTTGACTCTGCTTTCGTGCTTGGTTTGTTTTTTCTTCTGCCATGCGCAGATATCCGCGTATAACGTTCTCCAAACTCCCAACGTTTACAGATTGGAACATGTTTCGATATTGAAATAGGCCCTCTTTTGCTATGTGTGATTTTTTTAGTTCTACGCATAAGTCTAGGTATTTGAACATTATCGGTTCTAATACCGACTCTGACCAGCTGTACGTCCATTTTTTATTGCGGAAGACTTCTTGCAAAGTGTCTAGTGCTCGAGCTGGCTTACCTACTTCAATGAATTCTGTTGGGCAGAAAACATACGTACGTTTGTATTGTTGAAATTTCATGAAAAATGATAAATTATCTATTTTAATCTGCTATAATTTAATTCAATATTATTTAATTAATCGTCGATTTATTTAAAAAAATAATATTAAAACATTAGGATAAAAATGCTTAGAACAGCAAGGGTACATAAATGAATAACAGAAAAAGGTATGTATGTATTAAATGGGGTAAAATATCGTATGAGATCTTCAACAGACCTCACAAATAACTTAGAAATATATCAGTGTTGGATCAAAGAGGTTAACAGAGAGGATTATCTAAAATGCGAGGTATTAATTTAATTAAGTCAATGAGTTATTAATGAAATAACGAAGTCGGGGTCTCTGATGAGTCGCGCGCAATCGTTCAAGGGTTAATGATAACCAATTTCAAGTAATATTACAAAATAGTGCAGCGGTATACGTAACAAAGAAAATAGATGCCTCTATTGTCAAAGTCGGTTCAATGATATCGGCGTGGAACAATATTGAACAAAAACTTACGCACAACGTTCAATAGAAAACAAAAGCAAAATGATCGAAATTCGTTTTTATCAGTATCGGAAAAGCACGCATCGTATCAATTTATTTAACGAACGGATACTTTGGTCATTCGAGAAACGTTCGTGTGAAAACGACGAGTGTTAGATTTTATTCGTAACAGTCAATTCTAGTAGATTCTTTTTCGAACAAGCAGCTTGCATAATTGTTCAGTAGATGCGTATGGTTGTGTAAAATATGTATTAAAAAGCAGTCGATCAAACGTGACTGCAAGCAATACGAATGCTATAGAAATGGGAGTTTGGTTTTTGGTGATAAATCAATGATACAAAACCATATGATCGAACGATATGGATGAACGGAAACAAGTATTGGGAGGAGAAAATATTTTTTGAACCCTGTATTAAAAATGTATCGGCCATGTCATATCGTCTGTTAACGAACAGTATACATACCGTTTGCTCTTTTCAGAGCATTCTCTGGTCTCTGTCCGTATCGCGCCATTTTTTTTGCACGAATATAGTTAATTTCACACCATACACGCTATCGCGAAATTCAATAAATCTATGTGTAAAATTGGAAATTTACGCTCTTAACGACACGACGTTTGTTACGACGGACTACGACCGCGTGTACCGGATGAAAGGCGGTCACTAGAGAAAAATGGCTTCCCGTAATATGCAAGTCAAATCAGCCAACCTGGTTCTAAAACGTCTCTGAAATAATTGACGCAAGTAGTCGGATTCGTTGGGAAAAATGCAATTTAGTTTATTGCTCTTATTGTCTTCGTGATAAATCTATATCAAGATTATTATGTGTACGTCGACTGAACATGAATAAGGATAGCAAGTGGGCTTGGCACTAGATATCGTAAAGGTTTGTTTTCAATATCACTGCTCTTCAAACATAAATTTATTGCTTTAAATTTTCATATTTCTCGAATAGTGTGTATCTCTTGTTAAGATAAAGCGATCAGTTGTTGTATCTTTAAGCATCAATACTATATCAAACATTTAAATTGTTGGTTATGGTTCTCTTTAACATTTCGTTATTTCGTTTTAGTTTCCTTTCTTTAAAGTCGAACAATTACTTTTTCTTTGAATCGTATTTATTTAGGAAATAATACATAATATAATTATCGAAGGAATTTATTTACAAAAATATACAATAAGTTATAATAAAAACAAATTTTCCGCGACAGCCAAGTTGATTAAGAAATTTTCTACAGCCGGTGGTAAATTCTTTTCCTTCAATGTTTGCGCTGAAACCATTTTTCTTCCATCGGGTCCTTGAACAACTGCCAGGGACGTTAGTTGATTCAATAGATCCTGAGTTTTGTCATTTATTTCAGATATTATTTGGGCTTCTGTATAGGTTTGATTTTCGCACAACTGGACCATGAATAAAGCTATTTCTTTATGCGTTTTTGTCATTGTGAGACTTTCTAAAAATAAACATAGTTTTCAGAGGCAGGAAATCTTTAATAGAATAAAAATTGCGTCAAATCCTTTGTTACCTTTTGCATGCGAGGCAACAGTAATCTCTCTAGCTGGAATGTTCACGAGCAGGTCAAACAGGTCTGTTTTTGATGAGATAGAGCTATTTCTACAGCCAGCAACGTAATGCGAATGTCTCTGCAGAAAATTTATTAGCTTGAAGTTTATAATAATGTTAGATTCTAAGGTGACTATTAGTCGATATACCTTCAATTCTGATAGTTCATCGTCGACCAGATCCACCCAAGGAAATAAATTATCAGTGACTTTACGATGTTTCATTAATGCAGGAAATAACCCAATCCATTTTAATAGTTGTTCCAAGCTATGATGATAGACTATTATTCTCTTCTTTAAAAGAAGGGCTGTGTATATTAGAATTGTTTCCAATTCGAATGTTTTAATTAATTCTTTGATATTAGTATTAACCGTAAAACAATGACTATTAAAGTCATCCGAAACAAATGTTCCGTTCTCTTGGGTAGAACACGATCCTTTTGTAAACACAGAAAGGTACAGCTGTAAGATTTCTGTTGGTTTCCCGGTCTTACAGTACATTTTGCTAAGGACTCTTGAAAGTACTTCGTATTTTCGTGGATTAAAGTCTTTCGCGAACAAAACCAATGCAAATTGTTTTACCTGTGTTGAAGACAATTCTCGTTTGTTTCCGGTAACTTCATTGCGTGCATGTATCTTCAATAAGTACAGTTACTTAGCTATTTTGTGTTTCAAAGGAATTATAACTTACTTGTGGCAATTTGTCCGAATCGAATACTTCGCTACAATGTATGTAGAACCAATCGTGCTTTTGCCTTGAAAATATGAATACTTGCGGAGAATTGTGTTCTAACTCCAAGTTACATTTTCTTGTGACAACTGCTTTTTGCGATTCCGATATTATTGGATAAGACCACGTCCATAACACATCACCGTTAGAATCTTTCTCTGAAATTTAAATCTAATGTAACGAATGCTGGAAAGAAAATAATAATTTTAAATATATGCGTAAGTCAAAGATTACCGATTATGCTACAAGAAAGTAAATCTGTAAGTGGAGCCATTTCAAGCAAGTATTATTAACGGATTCACCCATCAAATTATGTGAAAATAATTGAGAACCCAGTTAACAATTTAATCTCGTTTCGAGATAGTATCCCATTTCTACGTTTTGACGCAAGTAGTCATTAGAAACAGATAAACATAAGTTTTGGCAAGTTTGACATTTATTGAGGTTATGTTTGTTGGAAAGGGTGTATCATACATGGTCTATCGTGATAAAAAACATCTAGTGAAATTGTGTGAGATCGGTATGTGCTGCAGTCTGTGCGAAATATGGGAAACCACAGATGTCTTAGTTAGTTTTAAGTCCAAACGTTGAACGTACTGACATCGTATTCCTGATAATTTAAAACTATTCTAGTATTCGAATCGTCGAGAGTAAAAGAACGAACACGTTGTTTGTTATAATATAGTTTATTTACAATGTATAGTAACTTGACGGTTAAGAACAGAGCACCGGAAGGTATTCGAATTAGTTTTATTAAATTAATCAACAATTTTCGTATTTGGATCGCGTTATAACTTACTTAACCTATTAATTTCTTCTTATACGCTTAAATTTCCGTTGCATTTCCATGCGAATATTGATTTTAAAATTTTGTACAGGAAATTCGACGAAGAGCTTGAGCAGTCTTAACTGGAGCTTCCGGAAGAAAGGATTCGTCTATCACATATGTTGTCTATGTATGTACAAAAATATTTACAATTTTTCTTAATTAAGTGGCAGATTTCGAAAAGCTCAAAGGTTGGAAGGCTAACAAACGTTCGAGTTTTAATGATTTTTCAATATTTATCAACGGTTAAAGAAATCATCTGAAGCAATTAAGATTCGAGTAATAGATTTTTTTTTGTTGCCAAGCCTTTGTTGCTTTTATATCCGCCATTGAGCACGGTAGTGCAAACAAAAACTAACAATGACAATTAATTATACCGAAATACGAAATAATTGCACGCACTTATACAATATCATGACAATGCTTTGTTAAAATAAATTAATACTCGATGTCGTTTCTATCGTTCTATCGTAAAGTCGTGCAATACGTTTATTCGTGAATACCGATTAAAAATTCTTTGACTCGTAAATCAATCTTTTAGGCAAAAGTTTATTTACGAATAAGTTTCAAATTTATATCGGTCATTCGCGAATAAAATTTGTCGAACTCAGGCGCTTAGTGCATGCAATTTTGCTGTCACGAAAGACCGTGATAAATTGCGCCCTCGCGCGGCGTAAATGGCTAATGCATCCGTTCCAGAGGGCATTAGTCGATCATTTTTAACGAGCAAATTGCCAGTTGACTGTTCGGCGCTTTCCCAAAGGGCTTCGTTCCATCAGGAGCGCTGTATTTGTTCACTTGGTACGTCAGCATCGTTTCGTACCCGAACACGTCCATTCCGAGTTGCTGCGAACAAAATAAACAGACAGATTCGGCGTTAAGTCGTACGAATACGTAGTAAAGAATAGACTCCGCGGAAAGTAAAACTTCCGTGGCATTTCTCGAGACCGCGTGAAACGGTCACGGGGGGTGGGTGGGATTAGTGCTTTTAGCCAGTTGCCCCGGCGGGAATTTCAAAGACGATTCCGAAGTTAGATTGCTTCGACAGCAACGTTCGGCGCTTTACTTAAGAACTTTATGCTAGACAATACCCGGAACGGGCTGGAAAAGACGAAGGGCGTCCGCCATAACACTAACAATAAGCAAAGCCTTAACGGTCGAACGTTGTTACTCGAGTTATCTACTTTATACGTTTCATCCACGAAGAGGTCGACCTCTTCGAAAGAACGACATCGTTAAAAGAGATTCCACGGTGGCGGTTTCTTAAAATTGCAAGATTAACCGAACCTCGTGCCCGGCCGTGGCGAAACTTAAAACGATCGACGATGATTGCGTTTCGTGTTTCGCATTAATGAAACTTTCAAGAACGGTGCGCCGGTTTTTCGGTGTTAGGCTCGGCCAGCAACACGTGTCAAACGAAAGACGGAAATTCAACGCTTCGACGGCCATTGTCACGCGTACGTGACTTCACTGTTTCTATGAAAATGTACACGTAGCGATACTTATTTCAATATCGACGAGTCATATAAATTAATACAATCCATATTGTTTACTTGATGGTAAAATTGCGTGATATATAAATGTTTATGGAAAAGCAACGCGGCCATCGAAGTTTGGCCTCGCGCGATTAATTTTGCATTTGAAATTGGACTTTATCGTTGCAGTTGACGTCGAATTGCAAATAATCGATTAAATATGTAATTGATTAATGGCCAACGCGAACTGCTACTGTGTATAACGGCTCCCACGCTATTAAAACGATTTTGAATCGCTACCTGCGTGAGCGGACTGGTGTTCGTGGTAAATATTCCAGCGTACTCTTTCCTCTTGGCCAGTTCTAAACAATATTCCTCCATCTCTTTCATCAGTATCACGTTCTCGGCCGGGTTCATGTCGCTGCTGGTGGTCATCATGAAATTGTGGATTATTTGTCCCTTCCCTTTCGGTAGCTTTCGTTCGCGGATCGGCTCCTCCAGGTACTCCAGGAACTCGAAGACGATCGTTAACTTGGAGTCGAGTATCAGCTCGGGTTCGTCCCACAGGTCAAAGTTCAGGCCCACGCCGATCGTCCTGCCGTCCCGCGACGATTTCACCGCGAAGCTCAGGTTTTTCTCGACCAAAGGCCCCCAGAGTATCTCCATCATTAGGCGGTAGTCGTCCTTCGACACGTCCGGCATCAGCCATTGCTCCAAGTCCGCTTTGCTGTAGAAACTCTCCGTGATGATTCTACGGAATAATTTTTTACTTCGATCAGTAAATCCTTCGGCTGCGACATAGTAGAACAAGGTTGCTAGCAACGTCGTATGTTGCACATGTGGCAGGGGGAGAAGGGGGTAATGTGGCGTCGTTTTCCGTACTCGCCTTCAGAGGGCTATGCCCTCGTTTCTCTCGCAAGCGTTCGATTTTCTGCACCTGCTAGAATTTTTTTCTTGAAAGTGCGTAGGATTTCGGGGGTATGTGTATCGGCCAAAAATGATCGTAATTGACCCGTGCAACCAAAAATAATTTTTTTAGAACGATTTGAAATTTTTTAATTTTGTCGAAAAATTTCACAGCTTCTCGAATTTTTTTCTTGAAAGTTGCTGGGATTTCGAGGGTATGTCTAATGAACAAAAATTATTGTAATTGACCCCCACAAGCGAAAATAATTTTTTCAGAACGATTTGTACAAATTTTTTCTTGCCGAAAAATTTAGGCACCTACCCCCTGTCGATTTTTCTTAAAAATCGTTTTTCATTTTTAATCATTTTGTTTGTCGAGCTACGGAAAAGTTGTCTAATACTTTTTTGTAGGCACCGATGAGCTCTACTTCAGAAAAAAGTTTCATTGAAATTTATTCATTATTGTAAGAGTTATGGCTGTTTGAAAATTGGACCATTTTTATGGGGATTTTCTTATTTTGCGGGTTCAAGGATCAACTTTTCGAATATTTTTAGAGTTTCCACATATTCTCCGCCAAAATACGCGTTGTTTGCCGTTTGGAACATTAAAATCGACCAATCCGTTCAGGAGTTATGACGTTTTAAAGATTCGCATGAAATTTCAGGGAAGCATTTCCGGTCTCCCATTAGATTTTCGGTAAAGAATTTTTTTCTCGACAATGCGCAGGATTTCGGGGGTATGTTTATTCACCAAAAATGATTGCAATTGACCCCTGCGACCGAAAATAATTTTTCCTGAATGATTTGAAACTTTTTAATTTTGTCGAAAATTTTCACACCTTCTCGAATTTTTTTCATGAAAGTGGCTAGGATTTCGAGGGTATGTGTATCGACAAAAAATGATCGTAATTGACCCGTACAACAAAAAATAATTTTTTTATAACGATTTAAAAATTTTTAATTTTGTCAAAAAATTTCACACTTTCTCGAATTTTTTTCTCGAAAGCGCGTAGAATCTTTGGGTTATGTCCCAGTATTAAGGGTCGAAATGTAAGTCGGTTGGTGGTACCTACTCGATCGTATCCTCTTTGTGGCTATCGTTCAACATTTCGAATCGATGCTCCTCCTCGTTGAGATTGTTCTCCGGCGGCGTGTCGTCTGTGCTGATCTTCATACGGTTGAGCACCTCGGACAGATTCTTCGCCGTGATAAATTCCGTGATACCTATCTCGTAACCTTGATCCCTCAGCTTCGTTACGGTGTAGATCGAGTTCAAGGAGTTTCCACCCAGCTCGTAGAAATTTGCATCGAGCGTGACGTTCGCACGTGCGCCACGTCCTATCACCGACGCCACCGTGGGGAACAGGACCGACGCTTTTTCAAGATCCTTCTCAGGGACGCCTTCGTAATCGCAATTCACGTAGTCGTCGCTCTCTACGACACGGGAGCAGAGAAAAATGTGAAAACGAATATGGTAATTTCCAAGATTTCTTTTCCAAGACGACATTCTCGGCAAGGTCGACAACGAACGCCATTTATAATTTGATCTCTCGTTACCATTGTTGATGTTGGAGGATTCGTACTGCTTCAAAAGTGTCTGACGATCCGTCTTCCCGTTCGTTAACAACGGTATGTTGTCCACGACGACGATCTGTGGCTGCATGTACAGTGGCAAAGTAGCTTGCAGATACGTTTCTACTTTCTCCGCGCAACACTGACCGTTCGTAGTAGTCACGAAAGCGAGTAGCGTCTGAGAAGAACATTTACAAAATCAAACTTTGTTGGAGTCCAAGGAAGACCACCAGTCAGTGGCGTAGACTCGTTTAATATCAATGGGCTTACAGCTTCTACTGGGGGTACAAGAAGGCCCTTTTATGGGGTTTTCTCCCTATTTATCGGTTTGTACAAGAGGGGAAAGGGAGCCTGATGACTACTCCAGTAGCACACGGTCCTAGTGTTGATGACTAAGACTGTGCCCTAGTGTCTACAATCTAGGGTACACTGACTTTGCACGGCCTTACTCAGCGATGTGACCCAAGGGGAACAATACTATGATTCGTGCGTGTCATCCAACAACTTGTAGCTTCCGTGACTCGTTTTAGACAGCGTACCTGGGACAATTCTCCCGGTTTGTAGCAGAGAACGACCACTTCGTCGACGCCTGGCGCCCTGGACACAGCTTTCTCCACCTCCGTGAGGTCCACGCGATGTCCACGTACTTTTATCTGCGAGTCTACGCGCCCTTCGTAGATGAGAACCCCCTTCGATATCCTGGCGTAGTCGCCCGTTCGATAGATCCTCGAATACTCTGTTCATAAGCAGACACTGTTGTATCAATGCACACGGTTAGGGCTACTGCTTAATTCCAATCTTGTCAACGTGTTAGCGACGACTTATTTGTAAGGGACCTCGAGGGCAATTAGCTCCCTAGTTATGATAGGGACTTAGCCTAAGTGGGGCCCCAAGAGGGATAGTTGCAAGGACACAATTCAGATGCCTGTCGATGGCTGGTGACTCGAAGTCACGCAGCTATCAGGCGTCATAGGACCCAACGTTGTCTTGCTTTAACACTATATTGCCCAAGGAAGTCATTTCGACTGCTTTTTAATTTCAATTAGAAAAACAATTATGTATACAATGACACAATTTCTTAGAATTTCGTGACTTTTTGTACAACATATAAATGCGTTTATTAATAATTGTAGTTACCAAAAGTAGCCATTTTGACTGCTTGGAAAATTTTAAATAATCAAATGACTCTTATTTTTTTCATTTTTCGTTTTCATTTTTGTTTCGATTACCGACGCACGATAACATACAAGTACACGATAAATTGTCGATTTTTTTTCAATAAGCTAAAGTAGTACTTGTTAGTCGAATCTTTATGCAGTGATACTTGTTCCAACAAGTTGTTTATTTTATTTCTTTTGCCCCCTAAATTCATAATATTAAAAATTAATTTTAAAGAAATTTCTTTACACATTGGTGATTCATTCACAATGCAGTCATTTTGACTACTTTTGGGCAATATAAGTATATACTGAGTTTCAGTCTTTCTAGTGTTAAAAAATAGGAACTCTGTTCCTTGAGGACTAAGCTTGACCTCTTGGCACTGAGTAGAGTTGTTCTTTCAAAATTTTTAACAAACGAATAGTATAAAACTTTGATATTATTACTTCTATTTACATAGAAGTTTTGATGATTGTTGACGAATATAGAAATTAAAATTTGAATAACAGTTTTCTAACAGAATTTATAGGGATTTGAGCCCTTCCAAGTTTGCCCACTGACCACTATTGTATATAAATCAAGAACCTCGTTATCTTTGGAAGTGGAAATGCTATAGGGGATGATCTAAACACGCGACGACGAGGGGAGATGGCTAAATATCTAAGCCAGGGAGGAAAAGAGAGTGGTAAGGATCGCTGGATCTAGATTGGGGGATCAAAGACGAGATAGGACGATATCGAGTAGAAGAACTGAAAAGGATATGTAGGATTCCGGAAATAGAAGCGTTTTTGGAGCATTTAATTTTAGTATAAATAATTACTCTTTTATATTAATTATTTCAAGATTATGAATTTCTAGAATTATTATTAAAAATGGAAAAATTATTGGAAATGGAAAGGATATGTAGGATTTCGGAAATAGAAGCGTTTTGGGAGCATTTAATTTTAGTATAAATAATTACTCTTTTATATTAATTATTTCAAGATTATGAATTTCTAGAATTATTATTAAAAATGGAAAAATTATTGGAAATGGAAAGGATATGTAGGATTTCGGAAATAGAAGCGTTTTGAGAGCATTTAATTGTAGTGTAAATAATTATTCTTTTGTATTAATTATTTCAAGATTATGAATTTCTAGAATTATTATTAAAAATGGAAAAATTATTGGAAATGGAAAGGATATGTAGGATTTCGGAAATAGAAGCGTTTCGAGAGCATTTAATTGTAGTGTAAATAATTATTCTTTTGTATTAATTATTTCAAGATTATGAATTTCTAGAATTATTATTAAAAATGGAAAAATTATTGGAAATGGAAAGGATATGTAGGATTTCGGAAATAGAAGCGTTTTGGGAGCATTTAATTTTAGTATAAATAATTATTCTTTTATATTAATTATTTCAAGATTATGAATTTCTAGAATTATTATTAAAAATGGAAAAATTATTGGAAATGGAAAGGATATGTAGGATTTCGGAAATAGAAGCGTTTTGGGAGCATTTAATTTTAGTATAAATAATTATTCTTTTGTATTAATTATTTCAAGAGTATGAATTTCTAGAATTATTATTATTTCATTAAATATAATTAATTCCCAAAATTTCCAATAACGAATCAAAGCTAATTAAATGTTCGTTACTCCTCGAACAGAACAAAGAATTTCAATTATAGAGATATTTGAAGTGCATAAAATTTCTTGAAACATCGAATTACAATTGGCTCCTGAAGAACAGAAAAATATATTCTATTCTATTCGTTTTAAATGCGAGGAATGCTCGCGGAAAACTTCTTATTCATTATCCTCGATCACACGTGGTTAATACAAGTGTTTACAGTCGTCGGTGCGTTTAGATAACCAGTAGCCAGGTAGTAAATAACGATGTGAGCGACAAAAAGCAGACAATAGACGGGAAGAACGCGACGATGAACACCGTACACGAGGAAGGGGGGGCAACGGGGGGACGCAGAAAAATTTCGTTTTTCTGTTCGAACCCGGCGATCCTTCTCCTCCTCGCTTTCATTAATAATGCATCGCCCCGGCGAGACGCGTCGAGGATAAATAAATTTTCGCCCGTGATTTATGGACGATCCCGCCGCGCACGCGCGTCACCGCGAACGGTAAAAACGCGGGATTCCCACTCGCGAATGCTACATTGCTTAACGAGATTATACGCGGGGAGAAAAAAAAAAAAAGGAAACGCGTTAAATCATGCTCGCCAAGAAATACGATATACGTCGGCGATCCGTTTTCGAAACCGGGTAACGCGAGTCCTCGAACAAGATCTGCGCAGCTGTTCGATAAACCTGGCGTCGCTTCGAAAGAAGTTATCCTTTGCTTCAAGACAGTTTCCTTAATCAATTCTACGAAGTTAATTAATTCGTTCCTCGAGAGTCAACGGATCCGTAGATACGCGGACGTGACCGTCCCGCGTATGGTATTGCGCTACGTTTTTTTTTTCTTGCGTCTTCCCGACGTCGAGAAAAATAATCGGTTCGCTGTCGCAGTGCCCCGCATGTGGGTCACCGTCGACTCAACGTATGGGTCAACGTCACGCGCGCGCGACAATACGCCACGGTTACGCGGAGCACGATATCGATGGATCGTAAGAGTCGATCGAGTCTCTCGGTGAAGTTTTTATTTTTTTTTTTTTTTTTTTCAAACTTTAGCGTCCGTCGAGGATTTTTCGAGGTATTAAAACTCCTGTAATTATCGGGTGGGAGGAAGTTCGTCGCGTGTTCGTTAGGGGCAGCTAGCAATCAACGAGTTCTTATCGTATTAAGTATTAAGTTTTGCCTCTCTCGATGTACTATTGAAGCACTTGTATTCGTTATAATGTTTCAGGATAGCGAGTACGTTTCGAATTTAATTCGGAGTGGATGTTAGTTTGCAATTTGTGGACTTTCCAAAGGCTGAAATTATCAGTAATTGAAAAGTAGTTTATAAGTTCTCGATCCAATTGAAATCTCCGAATGAGAACTATCGGAGAACAGCTTTGAAATCTGGCCTCGAGGCTCCGCGTATCTCCTCGGGGATCGTCTAGTTCGGTCGATGATAATATTTGGAAGCGACATTTGTACCTGGATCGATGGCGTGAGGGTTGTCGAGGAACTTGCGAGAGTCGTTGTCGCGTATATATCCGGCTGCTAGGTTCCTTCCAGCCACTATCAGTTCACCGACGTCTCCTTGGGGCACCAGACGCATTTCTTTGTTTACTAGATAGACGATGCAATTGTCCAACGGCTTTCCTATAGGTAAAAGATTATTTCTTTTCCTCAAATCCCTCTGTTTGACCCCTTTTGGTACTTTAACGAGTCTGACTCGTGACGAAGATTTTGGACTAAACATAAATATCACGAGCCAGACTCGTGGATAGCTAAACACGTTCGTGATTGAGTTTTAGTTCCTAAAACGCCACAAGAGTTGCTCACGATTCTTATCCCAGACCTAACTCAAACCTAACCCAGATCTAACCCAGACCTAACCCAGACGTAATCCAGACCTAACCCAGACCTAACCCAGACCTAACTCAGATCTAACCCAGACCTAACCCAGACCTAACTCAGATCTAACCCAGACCTAACCCAAACCTAACCCAGACCTAATCCAGACCTAACCCAGACCTAACCCAAACCTAAAGATTTAATTGAACAGACCAGACTGATACTAAACTGCTTCGTGACAGAGACTGGGTTAGGTCTGGGTTAGATCTGGGTTAGGTCTGGATTAGATCTAAGTTAGGTTTGGGTTAGGTCTGGGTTAGGTCTGGGTTAGGTTTGGGTTAGGTCTGGGATAAGCTAACCCAGACCTAACCCAAACCTAACTTAGATCTAATCCAGACCTAACCCAGATCTAACTCAGATCTAATCCAGACCTAACCCAGACCTAACCCAGAGCTAAATCAGATCTAATCCAGACCTAACCCAGACCTAACCCAAACCTAACTTAGATCTAATCCAGACCTAACCCAGATCTAACTCAGATCTAATCCAGACCTAACCCAGACCTAACCCAGAGCTAAATCAGATCTAATCCAGACCTAACCCAGACCTAACCCAGAGCTAAATCAGATCTAATCCAGACCTAACCCAGATCTAACTCAGATCTAACCCAGATCTAACCCAGACCTAACCCAGTCTCTGTCACGAAGCAGTTTAGTATCAGTCTGGTCTGTTCAATTAAATCTTTAGGTTTGGGTTAGGTCTTGGTTAGGGTCCTATATTTTTGCATATTAAATGCATTCTGTAGTTTCTTAAGAATTCAAATTTCCCCCAAATGCATAAACATCCGCAGTCTAATTATTATATTACTCTGATTCATAATTACCAGCACGTTATTGCTACTTTGATTTCTCGAGTTCTGAAAATTCAATCTACGTTACCTATGGGAACTTTTTCCGCGGACTGTAGCTGATTACGATTGTCGATCAGGTGGTAGGTGACGTCGCCCATGATCTCGGTGCTTCCGTAAAAGTTGGCCAAAACTTTGTCGTTGTCGCGGAACGTGGCGAAAAACTGGTCCGCCAGCGCGACTGGTAGCGTTTCACCGGAGCATATCCATAACTTCAACGAGCGGAGTACGTTGTCCTTGTCCTGGAACGAGGATTAAATTCAATTACGATATGACTGACGGTTAAATTGGATAATTACTGTACACACGGCCGTTTCAAATTATATACTTAGAGGATACTTAAGAGTAATGACTGGCTCGAGCGTTTAATTGAAACATCCAACGCGAGGAGCGCCGTGATTTATCGCGTCTAAATAGGTTCGCGTTTCCCTGCCCAAAAGTTACACTTTGGACTATATTACACAGGGTGTAAACGATAACTTTGGCAAAAATCATAGGGTAAGTAGAGGTCCCATAGGCAAGTATTTCGAGCATGGGAACCCGTGCCCGGAAATGCACCAGTAAAGAATAACGGCCATCTTTAATTTTGGTCTCTCGCGCCTGATGGGTAGGCAAGCTTTTTTTAGTTTAATGTTTCTTTAAATGTTTACGTTGTTCATCGTAAAACTTTCAATGGTTGTCATCTTTGTCACCTACACGACTGACCCACCTCAAAAGAAATAGCTTCCAGTACGATGGGTTTTCAGATGAGAAGTTAAAGATCGCCGTAATTTTTTACTGGTGCATTTCCCATGCTTGAAATACTTGCCTATGGGGCCTCTACTTACCCTATGATTTTTGCCAAAGTTATCGTTTACATCCTGTATATAATAAGTATATTAAAATTAGTGGTGGATCCAGAAGGAGGAAATAAAATGGCAAAATTTGAAAATCGTATTGTAAAAATTCTGATAACAAATCTTTGTGATTGGACGAATGTAACAAGTATCACAGACACGTTACTCACCCGTAGACTCAGGTACATGAGCATGGAGTGCAGTAAGGAAGGCACCAGTACCAATCGTTGAATCTGAAACAGTGGACAAATTGAACTCCCACAGGTATAGCTTTGAAAATAAACAGTCAACAAACAATGAAACAATTCCTCATTGATCTTGAGAGTCTAGATGCTCTTGGTCCATCGATAGTTCGCGTAAGACATTCTAAATACGGTAGTACCCTCGTTTTATGCGACGAAACTAGGACCTCCAAGTGGCTTGAAAGCGGGGTAAGACTTTCGTCGCTTCGAATCAACATTATTTGATAGTATCGTCGACGAATTTCACTTAAATTATTCAGGGACAGTTGTACGCGTCGTAGCGTATCGTTCGTACTGAATAAATATGTAGAAAGCAAACGAGATTGTCACTTGAATCCGGGCAACGTAACTTGTAAGCGGGTACCAGCGTGTATCGTCGCTGTCTAACCTTGTGCTTGTCCAGCACTTGCACGAATATCTCTGGATCCTTCGTAACGTGTTTGGGGACGACCACCAGGGTACGGCCCTGCAGAAGGGGCCCCCAAATCTCAGAGACACTGTCGACGAAGGTCAGGGACGTCTTGAAGACGCAGTGTTTCTCGTTCGACGCGTAGGGTAGCTCGCGCCATTGCCATTTCAATCGATTCAACACGGTCGCGTGTGGAAGAAGCACCCCTTTAAATAAACAAAAAACCATCAAAAAAGGAGCCCTCTAAAATCGAGTCTCTTCGTACAAATACTCAAATTAAAAATCACGAACTGCAATTTTGTTTGTTTACCTTTCGGTGTGCCCGTGCTACCGGAAGTGTAGAGAACGATGGCGAATTGTTCGGGGTCCTCATGATGGTCCAAGTTCCCATTCTCCTCGCAACGACTTCGATTCACCAGCTGATCGTACGTGATCGCGATCCTGCCCTCGTAGATCGACGAATCGGCTGGAAGATTTACGACAGTCGGAGTTTAATGCGAATTTTTTAAGCATCCCTCGACCAAGCGAGAATATGGCTGTCGATTATAGTCTGTCCGCCTCGGGACAAGCATTCAGGAAGTCGTTGGAAGGAGCGGGGTTGCTATCTCGGTTCGACCTTAAATCGCGCGGGTGATTTGCATAGGCGTCAAGGCTCTTTCGTTTACCGCGTTCGCGAGGAATCGCTTTGGAGCGCGGACGTAAAGGTGAACTACATACTTTCGTGCTGTTCTTAACCTTCTCCGCGTGAATAATGACTCTCGGTGCTTCAAAACCAGCGAAACTGACGAATGTTCCACGGCATCCGGGATCGACACTTTACTTTATGCAACTGTTACGAAAAATTAGAATTCTAGCACATTCAGGGGGAGGAGGGGAAAGGGGGCTTTGTTGTTCTTAAAGTAGCCCTTTTGCAGATCATATTTACTTGCAAATTATATTTGTCAGAGGAGAGGGTAGCTAATTTTCTTCTGGGCCTGCTAGTTGAGGGCTCATTCGGCCCTGGAAGGTCGATTTATGTTATAATATTTCTTCTTTTTTCTTGGAAACAAAACACACACTATAAATCGACCATCAGACACAAAACATTCAAACCAAAAGCGTGTATATAGGAATAGGTGGACCACTTGTGAGAAAGGTATAGATCGAGTGGCCCTCTATCGGTGAGTGCTGGAGGCGCGCCACGATATTACCATCAAACTTTCATTTTGGAACTAAAGCAATCGATTCTCAAGCAAAAACGTTAAAAGAAATAAATTCAAATGGGATTCATAATGCAAATTTTAAACTGTGTAGTTTAGAATTGTCTGAAATCAAAGTTTTGGTCTCGTGACTAATTTTACAAGACAAGATGACAAATTCTTGATATCCCCAGGTAATAAATTAATTTTTTATTTTGTCTGAAATCAAAGCTTTGGTCTCCTGACTAATTTTACAGGCTGAGATGATAAATTCTTGATATCCCCAGGTAATAAATTAATTTTTTTTTTGTAACAGAATGATGTTCCGGTGTGGCAGCGTCGACTCGTGGAAGAAGATGAATAGAAAGAAGGAGCTTGCTTACCACCTTCCTCCATGAGCACCATGAAAGGCCTCGCCTCCTGCAGAACGTGTTTCACCCTGGACATCGGGAACTCCGCGTCCAGAGGCAGGTAGGCCATTCCAGCTTTGATTATGGCGAGCAGCACCACCGGAAGTCGGTGGGACGGCTTCATGCAAACGGCCACCAGCGATTGCAAAGTGTTCTCGGGCTTCTCGCATTTTTTCAATACCCGCGCGATCCCGTTCGTCAGCTGATTCAGTTCCTCGTAGGTGAGCGTGTGCTCGTCGCCATTATCGTCTGCAAAATTGCAAATTAAATTGTCAGAAATATAATTAATCACAAATTATTTTTTGCCCCAAATAAAAAACGCGAGAATTTTTGTACTTTTCTCGGGATTTTCGATTTTAATCTGTTTCTAATTGTCGTGAAAATATATTTATAATTTTGCAACGTTGGATCATGCACGCTGGTGGCGCAAAAAAAGGTAATTCCGACGTCGGTGCGTTAATAGAGCGCGAAACGCACAGGTCGACGTTAATTGATTTCTAGTAACAGTCTTTTATTGTTTTTCCCCTGGCTCTTGTTCGCGTTCTTTTTTTGTACACCTCCCCTCCCTCTAATAACGCCAATGACACGTACCTTCGTAGTAGATCGCCAGCTGACTGGAATAATTTGCCGCGGTTTCATTGAATAATTTATGAAGCAAATCCTTCTCCTTGGTGCCGTCGGTCTGCCGGCCTTTCAAGACCGACTGCTGTAAAATGGTCCCCATCTGCGGGCAGACATTTTTGAGTTCCACACGGGGATGTCGTCTTTGGTCGATTGGCTCGATTAATCGTAAATCGAGCGTTTCGCGGAAAAACGACGCCGAGCGTCGCGGGGAAAAAAAACGCGCGAGCGGCCTCGTGATTTACGAGCAGCCTCGAAATCCCAAATGACAAATCAAACGCGCGACGCGTCGCCAGAGGCTAATAACTTTTACACGTTTTCTCTACGGTTACGCTGCTCGTGGAAAAAACGATTTCAATTACAGATCCTCGGGTAAAATTCTCTTACCTTTGCCGTTTCGATGTTCTACCATTTTGCTTAATTTGGGCAAACTAATTTCATCGACGTGTACGAAATGTACATTAAAAAAGTCGAAACAATTTTGTATATAGCAACAAGAATGATTTAGCAATTTTGTGTGTATTTTTTTATATTTTTTTTACGAGAAATCACGTGTTGACCGCTTATATGTGACTTTTAAGGACCTCCCTCTAAATATACGAAATGGATTTGAAAATTACAGTCGTAAACAATTTTGTATATAGCAACGATGACGATTAAGTAATTTTGTGTGTATTTTTTTATATTTTTTCTACAAGAAATCACGTGGTGCCCGCTTATATGTGACTTTTAAGGACCTCCTCTTAAATATACAAAATGCATTTGAAAATTACAGTCGAAACGATTTTGTATATAGCAACGAGGACGATTGAGCAATTTTGTGTGTATTTTTTTATATTTTTTTTACGAGAAATCACGTGTTGACCGCTTATATGTGACTTTTAAGGACCTCCCTCTAAATATACGAAATGGATTTGAAAATTACAGTCGTAAACAATTTTGTATATAGCAACGATCACGATTGAGCAATTTTGTGTGTATTTTTTATATTTTGTTTATAAGAAATCACGTGGTGCCCGTTTATATGTGACTTTTAAGAACCTCCCCCTAAATATACAAAATGCATTTGAAAATTACAGTCGAAACGATTTTGTATATAGCAACGAGGACGATTGAGCAATTTTGTGTGTATTTTTTTATATTTTTTTTACGAGAAATCACGTGTTGCCCGCTTATATGTGACTTTTAAGGACCTCCCTCTAAATATACGAAATGGATTTGAAAATTACAGTCGTAAACAATTTTGTATATAGCAACGATCACGATTGAGTAATTTTGTGTATTTTTTTTTATATTTTTTCTACAAGAAATCACGTGGTGCCCGCTTAAATGTAACTTTTAAGAACCTCCCCCTAAATATACAAAATACATTTGAAAATTAAAGACGAAACGATTTTGTGTACACCAACAAGGACGATTGAGCAATTTTGTGTGTATTTTTTTATATTTTTTTTATAAGAAATCACGTGGTGCCCGCTTATATGTAACTTTTAAGAACCTCCCCCTAAATATACAAAATACATTTGAAAATTAAAGACGAAACGATTTTGTGTACACCAACAAGGACGATTGAGCAATTTTGTGTGTATTTTGTTTACAAGGAACCCCATAGTGCCCGCATATATGTGAGTTTTGGAGCCCACCTTTGCTTACCATTTTATATAATTAAAAATTGATGGAAAATATCGATATAAAACGAATGGTTTATCGCCATTTTGTTTGGAAATTGAACAATAGTGCCCGCTTATATGTGAGTTTTGGAGCCCCCCTTTGTGTACCATTTTATGTAATATTTAATTGATGGAAAATAACGATATAAAACGAATGGTTTATCGCCATTTTGTTTGGAAATTGAACAATAGTGCCCGCTTATATGTGAGTTTTGGAGCCCCCCTTTGCTTACCAATTTATACCATTAAAAATTGATATAAAATAACGATATAAAACGAATGGTTTATCGCCATTTTGTTTGGAAATTGAACAATAGTGCCAGCTTATATGTGAGTTTTGGAGCCCCCCTTTGCTTACCATTTTGTATAATTAAAAACTGATGGAAAATAACGATATAAAACGAATGGTTTATCGCCATTTTGTTTGGAAATTGAACAATAGTGCCCGCTTATATGTGAGTTTTGGAGCCCCCCTTTGTGTACCATTTTATGTAATTAAAAATTGATGGAAAATAACGATATAAAACGAACGGTTTATCGCCATTTTGTTTGGAAATTGAACAATAGTGCCCGCTTATATGTGAGTTTTGGAGCCCCCCTTTGTGTACCATTTTATGTAATATTAAATTGATGGAAAATAACGATATAAAACGAATGGATTATTGCCATTTTGTTTGGAAATTTAAGAATAGTTTGCATCGGGAACGGGAGAGTTTAACGATAGCACAGGCAGGTGTGTTTGCGAAAGCGAGTCGAACCAGTCACCGGTTTCATAACGCGCTAGCATGGTTAACAATGAAATCGTTTGGCAGGTTGTAACAGTCCGGGGTGTATCCTTCGAGCATTTGAAAAAGAAAGCGCCTTAAGGTGATCCAGTTTCGTGCGAGACAACTGAAATGATCAACCTTGACGATTAGATCGGGATCGGGATCGTTTCTATCAATCGAAAACGAGAAATGTACGATAGCCGGTGACCTTCTCGGACGAGTTAACACCTACGTTCGAGGAAACGTGCTTGTGTTGCTTGAGTTCATGAATATTTAAATAACAGATCGTGATATTAAGATACTCCTAAATGATGGAAAGTACTCGTGGACGCGATCTCTCGCGATAAAATCTTGCGTTTTCGTTCTCGATTCCTAGATCAAAGATACCCTCGGATTTTTCTATGAATAAGAGACGAAGATCCCAGAAGATTTGTATCTAAAATGCACGTTGGAAGACTTACGACGCTCCCGGATAGTGTCTCAGCGTTCTCATTTTTTTCGCTGACTAGGCAGCTAATATTTTTAAAATTTTTCTCTCATTTATCGAGAACAGAGTAGCTTTTTTCAAACACTAAAAAGAATTTTTATCTCAAATCAAGGTAAAACTAACGAAAATAGCAAAGATAGCGTAACAAAAATATCGACTGATATTTAAATTCGAAGATGTTCGAGATTTAATCTCGAATTTGGAAACGATTTCACCGAAAGGTAATATCGAAGAAGCCACGCTACGAAGAATACACGTTCTCGTTGAAAACTTTCTCCACGAGCAACGTGACTAGTAACTATCGTGAACTTCAATAACCCCGTTAAATATAATTCTGTCTAACGCAATATAGGATCCGTTTATTTGACTTTTAGAAATGACTTTTAGAAAATATAGAAAGAAAAGAGCTCGACTCTCCAACTTTGATAACAGGCAAGAAAGAAAATAATAATTTTTTCCTTTTCAGTATCAATTTTGTAAAGTCATCGTGCGTGAATGTGTTTGGAAATAAAAATATTCGAAACATAGCGTTTGAGTTTTGTAGACAATTGATTTGACGGGGTTCCGAGGTTTCTGCTACTTGAACACGGCGATCACTTTATAAATTGTTGCGCCTAAACGATCGCCATTTATCTTCGTAACATACTTCGACTTAATCACTGGAATTCATCACTATATAAAGATAGCAATCGCAACTGTCTCGTTACCAACAGGCTAATGGGCAATCTAATTTGTATTGCCCAAGAGACCGTGTCAATTAAAACATTTTTCGCTACCTGGGCTGACCGCTTGCCTTTCCTGTCGCGAATCCGTTGCCTTTTTCACACCACGCGCAGAGATTCTCGGAAGTCCTGTCGATCGACTCCATTTTTCCTAAATTTCTTAATTCCAGCTAAGAAAATATCTATCTTAAAATAACCAGAATTTGCCAAAATAAAAGAACAGATCTATCAGCGTCAAAATCATTTGTATTCCTAAGAGTCGTCCAAAGAACGGATTTTTAGTCTGTTTCTGAAATCTGAATTTGTCAAAGAAAATATATTTATAGCTGCATCGATGCAATTTTTCCTGGGCGCCATTTTGGAGAATTGAAATTGTCCTTTTGATCAGAAAAATTTCTAAATTATATTGTAATGTGAAATATTAGTCGTGACAAAGTAAAGAAAAGAAATAGTTTCTGAATTTGTGTTCAAAGAAATTTATATAATATTTATAGAAGCCGCCCAGCTGCATCGATGCAATTTTTTCTGGGCCCCATTTTGGAGAATTAAAATTGTCTCTTTGATCAGAAAAATTTCTAAATTATATTGTAATGTGAAATATTAGTCGTGACAAAGTAAAGAAAAGAAATAGTTTCTGAATTTGTGCTCAAAGAAATTTATATAATATGTATCGATGCAATTTTTTCTGGGCGCCATTTTGGAGAATTAAAATTGTTCCTTCGATCAGAAAAATGTCTGAAATATTGTAATGTGAAATACTAGTCGAAAATGGTTATTTTCAAATTCCTAGAGAAGCATTGTATATATATTTAATCCAAATCAGCTGCTGATTTTCTGTAATTTATAATTCTCTATCGATAAGTGTATTCAGACAGTCTTAATGTAGGTATATATCCTAATTGTATTACGCATTTATATGCGTTGCTAATAATCCTGTAGAGGCTTACACAGCATTCAATAAAAAAAAAAAAAAAAAAAAATAAACAAATAAATAAATACTAGTCGCGACAAAGTAGTGGAAAAAAAATAATATTTCGATAGTTTGTTCTGTCGAATGGATGCTTCTGAGGACGAGTCGCGGAACAATGGCAGCAAAAATTCGCGGATAAAGATCCGGTGCAGCGCGCCTTTCGAAACGGGACCACGGGGCCGCGCGTTCCAACGGAAATTGGCAGAGCGAAATACAAATGCGCACGATGCATTACATAACTATCTGCTATGCAATAGTTGCAAAGAAACGAAAAGTACGCGTTCCGCTCGATGAAAGTGTTTGGCGGTTGGATTGCGTCCGCGCGTTCTTTATGGCAATTATTGAAAATCATAGTCGTAAATCAGCCCCGCGTGCAGCTATATAATTTACTTCGAAATTGTCGAATCGACGTACTCGTCGTAAAGTGTACACATTCCGAATTTCTCCATTAATATTCTACTTCGAATTTAACGCGTCAAAATGATATTTTCCGTCATTCTCTGGGTTTTAGTTTTATTTTATTTTACACAGGCTGAGTCTCGTAACCTGTTACCTGACGATTGTAAACGATTTACCGATTAGTTGCACGAAAAAAGTGTTTTTTTTTTAATAATTGTTGAGTTATTTGAAGTCGTCGGGTTACAAGACTCGTAAAATGTTTTGGAGCGACTTTTCTCGGTGAACGAAACATTCTCACGCAATTATTGAACCTGTCTACTCGTTTTATTGCCGCCACGATACAATCTGGAAGCACATTTTCTTCGACAGGCTCTATTACCTTATTACTTTCATTTAACGGATCGTAGATCGTGTCGATCGACTGGAAACCTTTCGACCCCTCGCGATTCGATCGTTTCAAGCAGATTTTATCAACGTCCCAACTCGAACTTCCATGTTTCACGAGAAATTTGAAAAAAGTGTAGTTTTTTAAAATTAAAAACTCAAGTTACAAGTTACGTAAGTTCTAGTGGTTCCTTTGGTCGATTATTCGGAGGATTTCAACATCAATCGCGAGGTCATTAATCCAGCAGTATCAGGGTTAGATAGAGATGATCGAGCATCCGTATTTTAGGATCATTCACGCGCTAACGAAAGAATGCTGTTTGAAAACTCTCGCAAAGATGACTACTTCAGAACGATCCTTTTCTCAACCATAGACAGTTACGACGACCCATCAGGCACCTCGGTTGTCAGGTATTATTATGGTAAACTATGGGCTTCGACTAGAATTTTAATCGACATGTAGAAATGTGGGATCAATATGAACGTAACAACACCTCGAGTTCGACGAGTGAATTGCTTTACGACTCTGATTACGCTGATGAACCAATCGTTCCGTTACCAACGATATTTCAGATCGTTGGTCCAGAAGAATTCGTGCTCGTGGAGACCAAACTCATTCGTGACGTTGATTTCAGCTGATAAGATGACAGAGTTTGTTAAGGTAGCCTCAGAGAAAGCATGATGGACTGACTTTGTTGATTCGTCAACAGTTTTCGATGAGATTTGTAAGCGAGGGTGGTTCCTCATCGTGATTCGCTATAAGATCGTTCAGTTTTACTCGTTATAAGATCAAATTCGTTTTTACACCGTAAATCGTATATTTTATACCCGTTAATTTGAGAACGTCGAACGACACGAGCTCGTAAGATCGTAATAACATCAAATTTGTTTATTAAACTCGACTCCATCACTGATCCCCGCACATCACTCGACAGTTCCAACGTTTCGTTCACTCACCTCAGAAGTACTTTCTCACGGATCCCGGGTTCGCCTATCCTCGCCTTTTGTCTTCCCTATACACGGTGTTCAAGTGTAAAAGAATCCACGATACGGACTACACTTCGTATCTTCGAGTTCAAGAGTCGATTTTCACTTTTTCCCCCACACTGTTGTCCCGATCTCCAACCACGAACTCCCTTTTCTATTCCGTCGATCTTCCGTTTCCTCCGTTCGCTCGAGTTCCCCCAACGTGAGATTTTCATTTATCGATTCCTGGACCCTCGAAGCGATTTCGATCGATTTTTGGTGCTCGTCGGTTCGATGCTCGTCGAGATCAAAGCGACGCGCGCACAGTCAGTCGCGGATCTCGCGCGGATACGACGGAACGCGGTTCCTCGGGACGCAATTCGATGATCTTACGCCGGTTCTCGGTCATCACCGGCCCGATTACTCGGTGAGAATGTCTCCTCCCGTTGACGTGGCATGTGCTTTTATATGGAACCGGTTACGAGGACCCTGAATTGTTCGTTGTCCCCCATCCTGCCACCACCATCTCTGCATCTTTTGTGCCGCTGTTGCTGCTGCACCGGCTGGCCCCCTTCGACGTCGTCCACTTGCATCGAACCGCTCGCTACTTCCTCCGTGTGTGTTTCCTCTCTTCGACGGCTATACGCTTTCGGAGCCTCTCAAACTGCTTCGGTCTCACAAAAGCATTTACACGGCCTACGAAACGAAAACAAATCCTTATTTTGCTCGAATCACCAATTTGAAGCGACCTTAATAATAAAAAAAAAAAAATAGTAAAATCGTGAGATGTAAAATTGAAACAGAAGCGAAGGGAAGCTTTCGTGTAGCCTATAAAATTGAAACAAATTTTTATTTTTGAGTTTAATACCTTGTTTGAACCACCGATTTGAAGCAACCTTAATATAGTAAAATCGTGAGATGTAAAATTGAAACAGAAACAAAGAGAAGCTTTCGTGTAGCCTGTAAAATGAAAAGAAATTTTTATTTTTGAGTTTAACACCTTGTTTGAAGCAGCAATTTGAAGCGACCTTAATAATAAAAAAAAAAAAAAATAGTAAGATCGTGAGATATAAAATTGAAACAGAACCAAAGAGAAGCTTTTATGTAGCCTATAGAATAGAAACAAATTTTTATTTTTGACTTTAACACCTTGAGTGAAGCATCAATTTGAAACAACCTTAATAAAAAAAAACAATAATAAGATTGTGAAACGTAACATTGAAATAGAAACAAAAAGTAAAAAGTATACAAATTTTTACTTTTTAGAAATTATTTTTGCTTTTTAGAAATTATTTTTACTATCTCGATATTTGTGTTTTGTAGAATATTTCCCCATTTTGCCACGAACGCGGTTTATCGATCGCGCTGTTTTTTTTGTCCCACTCGGAAACATAAATGGGGAAAATCACGTCGTTTGCGCGTATTACATTACTATAAAGGTCGAGTGTATTAAAAAGATAACAGTAATTATTGGGAGGCATAAACAAGAAATGTAACAGATAACAGAATCATACGGACTCGTAACGTAAGCGGAAACATAAATATGTACGACTTTACGATCTCGTCTAATGCATAGTTTGCTCGAACGTGTACGAGAAGTCATCGAATTATTGAAACACGAATTTTAAAGAATTATGCAAGATTAGAGAACAAACGAAAAATTTATTTATTTTATTTTGCTTTTCTTTAGGCAACAAAATTAGAAATTTGGTAACCTTCGATTTCTCTCGAAAATAATAATTTGTAGGTCGTTAAAAATTGTTGATAAATTCAGAAAATTTTAATCAAAGTTCAATTCCATAAATAACCTTCGATTTTTCTCGAAAATAATAATTGTAGGTCGTTAAAAATTGTTGATAAATTCAGAAAATGCATAGAAAAATCGAAGTTCAATTGTGTTTACTCTTTTTTGATAGTCTCGAATCTGCTAACGTTAGCACTAAAAACTCGATTGTGCATATTGCAGAATATTAAAACTTAATTTCTCCAGGCAATGAAAACTTCCATTCGATTTTGTAATCGAAATGAAAGGAGCCATTACCAGCGGTGCAATTACGATCTAATCTCTCGTGCTGGCGAATATTAAAATTTTAAAACATCGAACGGAGAAAACAGACAGAAACCTGACAAAATCTAATTTCTACACGATTCCATTGTGTTCGTGTTTCCACCGCGCGAAAACCTGTCTTTGATTTTGCAACTGCAACGAAACGAGCCATTAAGCTCCGCTGAAGTCGATCGACTGGCAACTGTAATCGAGTTTCTCGCAATCATGAATATTAAAGAAATTTCATTGTTATATCTGGGAATTTATCTTCATTTTTCTACTTCTAACTCGCTAATAGTAATTATTTTATTAAATTTACTTCATTTACTGTTTGATGTGATTCTTCCACTTCGAGAAAAAGTTGCTTCCAACGTTCCGATTAAAATAAAAATAGCTCGATACGATCTGCTTTCTGTCCAACGCCACGTGCACCGAGAACGGTGCATCAGACAGAGAACGCCTTAATAAGTCTCAATGAAGACATTTTTTTTCAAATTCTTTTCAAATTGAATAACACAAAAATATATAATTTGAATCTATTTTTATCGCTCGAAAGTGCTCATTTTCATCGATGGAATTTTCTCGAAAGCGTTCGTTCGTCGCGGGGGATCAGTGGGCGTGGTTTGAGAGGCGCTGTTGTCATCGTTTCGCGCGGAATAAATTTTGAAAAATGCGCGGCAATTACGATCGGTCTCGATACGTCACCGTGGATGACAAAGTGATCGTAATGGCCGGGTCAACGGCGTTACCCAGCGTTTGATTGAAAAGGGCGAACCAATTATTATCCCGGCGTCGAAAAGGTCCACCGAATCTGCGAGTCGCGATAATCCTTGAATTATGCTTAATTACGGTGCCCCGCCTCCTCCCCCCTACACCCTGTTCCCCGTCTCCTCGCGAGTACGCGTAATTTTACGGCGGGTAAATGAATGTCAGAACGACCTTCAGGAAACCAGTGGATCGTAAAATTATTTCACTTTACCGTTCCATTAAACATCCACCGTGTCTACTTAACGCTATATTAGAAAATGAACGCTTGTCCGGCGTTGGATATCACTTTGTTACGGTAAATCGCTGCTTGAACGGGACCCAAGGGGATCCAAGGAGATTTATTATAATAAATATCGTCACTTGCGTAACTTCAAGGCGATGCGTCGCCGCTGTGCAACATCGGTAATATTCTGTAACCATTGCACCAGTGATTCATTATTTCATTATTCGATACCACTCGCTTTTGTTGGCAATTTCTCAGCCCAGAGAGCCGCCATTTTCTTTTAGAGCTCGTCGAGGATCCACGTTCGTGAAAATTTCTCGATCCTCTCGAATTTATTCAGGAAACAGAAGCAAAGAAAATTTTAAATAATAACATTTTTTATGCAATGTTTATTGTAATATGCGTCACGAACAAATAAGAATATAATTATTGACGGATCCATGGGGGTCGAGGGCCCACGAAACGTTCGTGAAAATTTCCTCGATCCTCTTGAATTTATCTGGGAAACAAGAGCAAAGAAAATTGTAAATAATAACATTTTTTATGCAATGTTTATTGTAATATGCGTCACGAACAAATGAGAATATAATTATTGAGGGATTTATGGAGTCCAAATTTTTTTCACTGAAATCGAAACTGTTTGGGTGATCGCGTTCGAAATCGTTGCTGATATTATTCGACGAAGATTCGTCTAACTGGAAACGCCCGCGTTGATCGAATTATTCAGTTGGAAGTTCCAGATTCGACGGGGGATCACCCTTTTACTGGTTCGCGCGCGGCCGGGTTGCGTGTTTCATGAGAGTTTCATCGCACGTTGCTGTTCTCTAATTGCAATGTCACGCTTCGCGCCTCGTTTTTTTTCCCCCCCCCCGCGACGCCGCGACGCGCGTCAATACCGGAGGCCGGATAAACGGAACAGGAAAATGTTTTGTCCGGGGCACGAAGAACTCTGGTTAGGGGAAGCAATAAATAAAATAAATATCTATCAACAAGCTTGGGCAAATGAGTCCTGGTTTAGAGTCGAACTGAAACAATCGGGACAGTAGAACGATAGATAGAACAGTATTAGTAATAACTAGAGGCTTGGATCTTGAATATTTTGCAATATGAGAGGTATGGTTGTGAATATGTCACAACTAAGCGGGCTAGAATCAGACTGAAACGAAAAAGTAGAACGATAGACGAGGCAATATTGGTAATAACAAAGTGCAAGAGGCTTGGATCTTTACTCTGTAACTAAATATAATTTCTTTAGTGTGATTTTAAATAATTTAATTTAATCTAAAAATTTCAGTATCTGCTCGAATTTTTTTCTCGAAAATGCGTAGGATTTCGGGGGTATGTGTAATGACAAAAAATGATTGCAATTGACCCCTGTAACTACATATAATTTTTTTAATGTGATTTTATATATTATAATTTCATCTAAAAATTTCGGTACCTGCTCGAATTTTTTTCTGGAAAATGCGTAGGATTTCGGGGGTATGTGTAATGACAAAAAATGATTGCAATTGACCCCTGTAACTAAATATAATTTTTTTAGTGTGATTTTAAATATTTTAATTTCATCCAAAAAGTTCAGTACCTACTCGAATTTTTTTCTCGAAAGTGGGTAGGGTTTCGAGGGTATGTGTAATGACAAAAAAGTGATTGCAATTGACCCCTGTAACTACATATAATTTTTTTAGTGTGATTTTATATATTATAATTTCATCTAAAAATTTCGGTACCTGCTCGAATTTTTTTCTGGAAAGCGGGTAGGATTTCGGGGGTATGTGTAATGACCAAAAATGATTGTAATTACCCCCTGTAACTAAGTATAATTTTTTTAGTGTGATTTTATATATTATAATTTCATCTAAAAATTTCGGTACCTGCTCGAATTTTTTTCTGGAAAGTGGGTAGGATTTCGGGGGTATGTGTAATGACCAAAAATGATTGTAATTGACCCTTGCAATCGAAGGTAATTTTTCCAGAACGGTTTGAAATTTTTTAATTTAATTGTTAATAACTTTTTAACGAGGCCTCAGTCGAGAAACGGACATTCTTAATTTTCGTCTTATTTTGGCCTCTAGAATCTCCTATTAAAATTTTTCGCGTGAAAAAGGCTTCTGGGGCAGAGAGTTAAACCCAAAAATAATTTCTTAAATGCTTTTGCAATAAAATTAGACCCTTTATAATGTTTTATAAATTTCTATTGAGACAGAGCTTTCTCCTAATGCGAAGAATAAGGCACCATCGCATACTCAACGATGTATCGTCGTTCGACACTAAAAGGGTCAGTAATAACAAAGTGCAAGAGGTTTGGATCTTGACTCTTTTGCAATATGAGAGGTATAGTTGTGAATATGTCACAACTAAGCGGGCCAGTTTAGAATCAGACTGAAA